TATTTTATAAGATTTAATATTATAAATGAAATTCTAAATATTTTTTGTCTTAAAATTTGAAAGAAAATTTATAATTTTGTTTTAAAAGAAACTTCAAATTATGTTTTAAATAATTATTCTCATTTATTTCAAGATTTCACAAATAAAGATATGCCAAAATTAATTTATAGTTTTTGTCTAAAGAAATTTTTAAATGTTGTTTACAATTTCTATCAACCAAAAATGGTAAATTAAATTATGAATTATATTTAACATTATGTAAGTTATTTTTTAAGGCAAGAAATTGTGAAATGCCTGATGTGGGAGATTATGTCATAATACCGTCACGTGCGCTAATTTCGAGTCCTGCAACTAGGGACCGAAATGGATAAGCAAAACCACGGATCCACACCGTGGATAGATAATTCCCACGGATACCACACCACGGTAAATGTTCCCACGGATACCGTGGATTTTTGCGTGTCCGAGACTTGTAGGTAGAAGAATATACCAACTGCTTACACTCCTTTACATTTCCAATCTGTTACTCTACTGCTTGAACCTATAACCCTCAAAAAAGAAAAAAAAACATGTCTCAGTCTTATCCCTTACTTTCACCAACTAAAATCTACACTCATTTCGTTTATAACCGATCAAGAGTTCCAATCACACTGAGTGCTTCTCCTCCCACGCAAACGCTGGCATCTTCACAACGGTCCGATACCCTTAATAAGCGGCCTAAAGAAGCTCCGGCCATTGATCCGTTAGAGCCAAAGAGACGGAAGAAGGCTAATTCAGTGTATGATATGTCAGATGAGGAGGTCTGGGAGTTAAGTGACGAGGAGATACTTGGTATGCCTTCTTGAATAGTCGCTGCTTTCTGTTTCTCAAATTCGTTCAAGTCAATTTCTTTTTGCTCTTTACATGTGTATTCATCATGCTGCAATTAAGCATTTCATTCCAACTGTACTATTATCACTGTATATGTTCTTCTCACACATAACCAATGTTCCTGGCATTTTCTATGTAACAGTGCTTTGACGATTTTCCTTTTCCTTTCTTCCCTACTATAATACACTCATTATAATTTTGTATTTATCCTATTGTAATAAATATATACTATTTGCTTATGTATTGATTCTGCAGCACCATGCTTAATGAAATGGACATCACTTGCATACCAGCACTACAACATTTCTGTCAGGCATATTGAGCATGGAGGAAAGAAAAAGATATTCTTTGTCTTTACATGCTCTAAAGGGAATCCTACCCATCGAGTGTATGAACGAGCATGCAAAAATACAAAGCACAGAACCTCATTGCTTCTCAACTCAGCAATTGCATGTAATACATCTAAGGACGAGCCGAAGACAGCTATAGAACCCCCCATCAACTATTCTGAGGCTGCCCATCGAACAGTCATTGCTCTCCGATGTGCCAAAAACAATTGCCCATTCAACATTGTGTCAGACAACTATTATAGTCTAGAAGTAGCTATGCTTCATCCTGGAGTAGTTCTACCATGTCCTGAGACGGTTTCAAATGACATTAAAGCTATCTATGCTGGGTTATCCATAAATGTCAGGAATTACTTTAAGGTGTGTAATACATTCCTCTTATTATATTTAAAACTAATTAATAAAATGTACAGAGACGAGCAGGAAATGTCCATCTTGCTGTTGATGGTTGGACTGCACCAATAGGATCATCATATCTTGGTGTTGTTATTATCTGGGTAGATTCTGGGAGAGTACACCGGGCTATTCTTGAATTTATCCAGTAAGTGTTTTGTACAATCTGGGAAACGAATGTATACCTTGTACAGACAATGTGAACTTTCCGTGAATTCCTTCGTGGTTTCAAACCGAAATATCACATTGCTTTCACCATTAATCTCCCTTCTTATCACTTCTCTTCCTTTTATAAAGAGCTTTCTAATAGTATTTTACAGCTTGACTCAGGGTCACACAGGCAAATATCTTGCTGAAGAATTAGCAAAGTGTCTAAACCAATATGAACTCAGCCAATACGTGTGTACCTGATCAAATAGCATGCATATAAATGTCCTAATGGTACACAGGTACATACTTTGAACATGGATAATGCTGGGAACTGCAATACTACTGCAGTTGAGCTAGCTAAGCTCATTCTGGCGTTCCACAGTGCAAAATCCTGTGTTTGATGCTTTGCTCACATTATGAATCTAGTTGTGAAGGTATGCTATAATCTTTTGCACTGTCTATTTACTGCTTACGTCTCAATCTATCAGGCAGTTCTGTCACTCTTCTTTAGACCCATGAAGCATAAGAGGGCTGTAGAAGAAGCTGAGCTCATTGATACACTCTGTGACAATGACTTTACATCTGATGATAGTCAGTTAGCTCATGATGCTCATGTTGCTACTACTATCCATGATAAAGCCATTCAACAGATGCAATCAGCTAGAGTGACAGTCTCTGCTGATGAGCTTCAAAGTGCAGAATTGATCTTGTCAAAGGTAGTGTTTCATTTCTATTTATTTATCTAAGTTATTTATCAAGTTCTTTAGATTGCTGGCTTAGCAAAGAAAATTAATGACTCAAATTCATTGAAAGAATGGTTTGAGAAGTTGATTGATGCTGAAGTTGGAAAGAATGAGCCATTAGTCAATGGTAATAAGCGAATGCTTGCTCAACGAGTAGCAACATGCTGGAACTCTGACTTTGCTTGTCTCCAATCATATCTCTCATTGTACCCTATTGTTGAACAGTTAACAGGTGTTCAACATTTAAAGCTACAGAGTTTCATTCTTAATGCATCCCAGCTTTCTCTTGCAAAAGAGTTATGCCACATTCTTGCAGTAAGTTTCTAAATTCTTATATTCTATAGTATAATTCTAGTCTTTTCTTACTAACTACTATTATAGATTCTTGAAGAGCCTACTCGCTTGTTTTCTCAGGCAGAAGTTCCTCTAATTGCAGATGTGATCCCTATGTTTCTGGAAATCCGGCAGGCACTTGAATGTGCAAGCAAGGATGAGAATCTACCCTCTATCCTCAGAATTGCAGCTCAAGCCAGCATTCTTGTTTGTGACAAGTACTTTACTCTTACTGGAGAATGTGAAGTTTACTTCATTGCAATTGGTATGTAATTCTTAATATCTTATAAAGAACTTCAACTAATTTCTATTATTAAGCTATGTCACCAGATAAAAAGCTCGAGTGGTTTGCTAAAAAGAACTTCCCAGCAAATGTAGTACAGGAGATTCATGACCTTGTAATACATAGATGGGAAGTGTCTTATAAGCATCTTCAAGCAGCCAGCTCAAGCTCTAGAATATCTACAAATCCTCAGCCGCTTGTAAGTCTTAATTTTTTCATAATATAATATGTATTAAAAGAAATTGTTTTCTAGTCTCATTCCCGGTACCTCTCTCAATGCAAAAGTGTTGATGAAGATGGTCCATCTGATTCTATTCAGAAATACCTACTAGAGTCCCGTATTTCATCATCAGTTATTCAAGCATCTGGAGGCCTTATTTCATACTAGGACACAGCTCGAGCATACCAACCTAGCATTGCTCAGATGGCTATTGATTTCTGCTCAGCTCCTGGTAAGACTTTTATTATTATAATAGTTTCTTTTTAACATGAAATTATTTCTATAGCTACATCTGTAGATGCAGAACGTGCATTTTCAGTAGGACGACGACAAATTAATTTTATGCAGCACAATACCTCTTCTAATACATTCAGAGCCAAAATGGCTGTTGGATCTTGGGATGGAACACCTCTTTTCCCCAATATTAATGATGCAATTAGTATACTTAACAAGAAAATGTCTTCATCTAACTCTCCTTAATCATTTCTCTAATTTTCTACCGGTTCTTTATCTTCACATGTAGAATATTCGATTTTTATACCCTTCTAATACTTATTTTTATTAGTATATAATATAATTTGATGTAATTAACTAGTATTGTATGATATATATACAAAAAAATTGTAAATAAGTGGTGTAGGAATTATCATGTTAAAAAATGAAAAAATTCAGCTGTGTAGCCGAACATTTTTGCGGTGTCGCGGTGCACCGTGGTAACCGTGGGAATTTTATCCACGGTAACTACAATCCACGGTGTGGATCACGGATCGCGCGGATGGTAACCATTTCGGTCCCTACCTGCAACTGAACTGCAGTTACTGCACTGTTGCACACTTCAACGCTGTCGCGGATGCGGAGGTTGGAACAACGGGCTACACTGAGAATGCCTAGCGACCTGGACAAGTAAGTACGTGTCTATACTCCTTCGCTTTAAACCCGAAAGGTTTTCTTATACTGTTTTCTATATTCGAAGCCAGATAGCGCAGCTTATCCGATGCGAACCCATATCAGAAGAGCAAGTCAAGCAGCTATGCCTCAAGGCCCGGGAAATACTCATAGAGGAGGGGAATGTGCAAATAGTCGATTCGCCTGTCACGGTAAGTAAGTTTCATCTCATGCATATGCAAAAATCCTGACAGGGAAACCTCATCGCAAGATATGCGGTGACATACACGGCCAGTTTTGGGATATGATGGAGCTTTTTAAAGTCGGTGGCTTCTGTCCAGAAACGAATTATCTCTTCATGGGCGATTTCGTTGACCGAGGTTATTACTCCGTTGAAACGTTTCTTTTGCTCCTGGCATATAAAGTCCGTTATCCGGACCGCATTACGCTCATCCGAGGAAACCATGAATCTCGCCAGATCACACAAGTGTATGGGTTCTATGACGAGTGTCAACGGAAGTACGGCTCTGCGAATGTATGGAGATATTGTTGTGAGGTATTCGACTACCTGGCTCTTGGCGCTATAGTTGATGGGAGTGTCTTTTGCATTCATGGTGGGTTAAGTCCCAATTTACAAGGCATAGATCAAGTACGTCGATGAAGTTGGCACGGCATACGCACTCTCATGATTGGACAGATTCGGGCCATTGACCGGAAACAAGAAGTGCCGCATGATGGGCTGATGTGCGATCTCCTGTGGTCCGATCCGGACGACATCCAGGGTTGGGGACTCTCGCCCCGTGGTGCTGGATTTCTTTTTGGCGGAGACGTTACAAAAGCTTTTGCGCATAACAACGCAATAGATCTTATCGCACGAGCACATCAACTTGCCATGGAAGGCTACAAGCTCATGTTCGATAACATTATTGTCACGGTATGGAGCGCACCGAATTATTGTTACAGGTGAGAATTCAACCGCATACAAGGATGAAAGAAACTGATGAGCAATCCTTAGATGCGGGAACGTCGCATCCATACTCGAACTCGATGAATATCTGGCACAAGAATACAAAGTATTCCAACACGCACCTTCGGTAAGCTGCTATTTGTGTTTCGTAATTTCTGTCGGTAATCTGACGTCTTCACTCGAACAGGATGTACGTTCGATACCTGCAAAAAGGCCACCAGCCGAATATTTTCTGTGATTTTGTCGTCTTCTTTCCGTCCCATCTCTTTCGCAATGCTATCTGTCAACTGTTGACCGCTGTCATCTGTAGCCTTAATAAATCTATCCATTTCTTCGCTACCGTCATTATTCTCTTCGCAGTGATGCCAAACCCATTCGGTTATCCACCGTGTACCACCCGTACGCTGACAGTCTCTAAGAGATAGTTATTCCTGGCCACAAACGTAGCCCAGCCTGAACTAGTATACCCATTCGACCCGGTGTAAAAGCTTCACCGCATGACGCCTAGTCCCGGCCTCACCACTCACTACCACGACCAGGACAAAACAAGTCACTCTTAGACGTTCGCTTGCGTTCTGCATGTCTCGACGCCTGTTTGCTGGAATAAACCTGGACTGTATCGCAGCAACTTACTGTCGTACATTTCCTTCCACACACATTTAGTACTCACAATCCCGTGCTGCGGCTCAACGGCAGAAATCACTTGAGCTCTTGTAAAGAACAGTTGTACAACCTGCAGCAACATTGGACTCGTTTCACTCACAGGATACAAGGACTCCTTCCAACTGAGAGCTAGTACTCTTGATGCCTCCTCACTTCAATTACTTGAGCACTCAGTATTCCCTCCGCACTGTCTGAGGAAGGCAGACTGCCGACGTTGGGCACTCTCTTTTCATGACAACTCCTGTGTTGGTTTGCAGCATCCAATCCTCTAATGTTTTGTCTCGGTGCACGACTATGTAAATATTACAGAATATCTCGTCTTAAACAAAAGATAATGAATAGCTAATATTTGACGTATATCCGGGCTTTACATATGCAGAATTCAAATGATAATGTAGTGGACAGCATTCTAGATTATTACGTAATACACTTTATCCCTTTTCTCGTCGCAGGTTGAAATTTTGAATTGTGCCTAGCACCCATACAACAGGCCCAGCATGTCCAGTAGAGTTGACATTAAACAGCGCTCGCTGTCTGTCCACAACCGTAACGTCGCCCGACGTCCTCGCTTTCAGTCCAATAACTGTTCCCCGCATCGACACGCCAACCGTGTCCATTATCCGTTTACTTATTTCTTGTAAGCACCTTCTCATCCAACACAGAAGCAACTGTTAAATAGGAGGCCTCGTTTTCTTTCCTTGTCATTGATCACACAGCTCAGCTGAAGAAACCTGGGACTATTCACAAGCGTGACTGCCTATATGGAGTACAGCGTGGACCTCGGGTTGGTTATTGACTCACTCTACAACCTGACTGTTGACCATTGGGAGCGCTTTCAACAATCGCGGGAACGGGCAGAACTTGACTCGTCCATTTCGTACAGTCGCACTGTCCTTGGCCTTCATCCTGAAGGACATCCGGGCTGCTCAGAGATATTGGACAATCTTGGAAATTTCCTTAACGTCCGATTCCAGCAGTACGGGAGATTAGAAGATCTAGAGGATGCCATTACTGTAGCGGACTGTATGTAGGCAACGCTTACTAATGTATTATATAAGTGTAATGGTAAAATGAAAGCAACAAAGTAACAGACTTGACTTTCCGCATCCAAGCCCTGAGTCTCACAGCTCTTTTTTGGACGACCCTGAATGGCCACTTACATAATACTTATGTGGTGGCTCTCAGACTAAGAAGTTAGGAGGGGGGGTTTGGGGGGCAAAGCCACCCCAATTAGGTTTAGGATAGGTTGGGCTGTTAGGTTGGGTATTGGCTAGGCTTGGGGATAGGATTAGGGAGGGGAATATGTATTTTCATTAGAAAACTGACTTTATTTTGACTTAGTGAAATACAAGTTGGACAGTGAGTGGCCAATTCAGACTAACCAAAAAAGAGCTGTAGGACTCAGAGCTTGGATGTAGAATTAATACAACTATAAAGTAAGAGTAACATGTTATAGGGTTCAAATTAAGTAACTATAGCCAAAATGAGACAGAGGTGGATTGTCTTTTAAGATTGTAAGGAGCTACTAAGCTACAAACAAGCTACACAAAGATGAAAATGATAAAAAAGCATGAATTAAGGATCTTGAATATGTCTTCAACATATTATCTAGTATGTTAGAGACAACACCTTCTCTACAACTTGTACAACCCTTACCTTCCACATACCCTGTCTCCCAGCATTCTAATCCTACTGTGTAAAGTAAGAACCTGTACTAAACAAAACTGCAATTCCAAGTTTGTACCAAGGAAGAGGTAGCTGAGCAATAGAGAAAGGAGGATGAGTAAGATTGAGAGAGCTGTAAGAGAAAGATCAAGTTGTATGAGGAATGTAAAGCCAAAAAGAAAGCTTACAAGAAGGAATTGAGTGCTGCAAGAGTTGCTAAGTATCAGAAGAGGAAGAGAGAGGAGTGTCAGAGACTTGATACAGAGGAAAGTAGTCAGGTATGTATCTTTTGTTGACTAAAGTACATTAACAGTTATTTATTGACTTATATTACAAGTATCTAGTGATCATTAAGAGAGTCCAACTGCTCTTCCATGCAATAACACTGTTGCTGAGGTATCCTAGGAAATTTCAGGACAGTAGAAGACACAGTGAATGGGAAAGTAGCAGGGATGTCTTCCAGGTGTTTCTAAGCATACAAATTAGTACCATCCATTCCTATAGGATGCAATTGATTGTATTGCACCAAAGGTTGACTTCAGTCCCTCAAAAATTGTTGAGTTCTTGAAGAAAGAGAGTCCAGCACTGTACAATCAATTGAATAAGGGTACAGTCCAGAAATGGATTGTACTGTGTGGAACAAAATGGTCTGATACAACAATCTGCAATGTCCAGAACAAGCATATCTTAAGGGGTTCTGAATGTGTTGGTACTCTTACAAAGTACTCTGAGCTTGTTGAGGAGATTAAAACAAACTTTCTGGGCTTTTGTACAAAAGGTTACCTACTGAATGTAGTAATTGGCCATTCTATAATGCTTGCCATCATTGAAGCTCACAATCCAGATATCCTCACATTGAACTTCAAATACAGTGAGGTATGTATCTTATGTGTCTGTCCCTATCACAATAGTGGACATGTGCCTTGAGTATTGTCTCTCTGTCATACTAACTGATGTACATGTTTGTATAGAAATATGTCAGGTTGTTCCTAGGATCAGTTTTGAATATGACAGTAAGGTGAGCAACTCAAGCTGCTGCACACCTACCTAAGAACTGGGAGGAGGTGTGTGAGCATGCTTTTTTTTGTCTTGTTCATGTAGTAAAAGAGTTTGATATCCCCTCATCAGTGAGTGCTTTAGTACTATAGTTTATTAAGTATATTACTCATTTTCTTTCAAGTTAATTGTTAATATGGATCAAACAGGGGTACTATATATTCCTGGCTATAAGTACACCTACAAAAAGAAAGGTTCAAAGCAGGTAAACGTTATAGCTAAGGATGAGAAGCAAGGGTACACACTTTGTGTATCTAGTACTGTTGATGGCAAACTACTGCCATTCCAGCAAGTCTACAGTGGTAAAACTGACCAGAGCCTCCCAGAAAAGAACTCTACAAATATGGAAGAGGCTCTCAGTGCTGGAATTCAATTTACAGTGGCAGCAAGTGTAAACCAGTGTGATAGTCACTTCAGTACTCAGAAAACAATGAAAGAAGTGTGTACATGCATTGTAAATCTTTGTTCTTAAACTAAATACCTCTTACAGTTTATGAAGAACATCTACAAGCCTTACTATAAGAGAGTCTTGGAAGCAAATCCATACCTGCCAAGGGACCAGTGTGCTGTCCTTTACTTGGACTGCTATCCAGTACATATGAGTGCCGATTTCTTGGATTTCTTACGATCAGAATACCTGTATGTCATCCCTTTATTCGTCCCTGCAAACTGTAAGTGTACAAATACATTTCTCAATGACATTGGAGCTGAACTTCTGTATGGTGAAGGCACTCCTGTATTCCAACCAGCAGACATTGGTCTGCAGTGCATCCTCAAACACCAATTGAAACAACATGCACTTCAAGGAATGATCCAGCAATACTGCAGCCAGATAGCAAAGGGCATCCCTCTTGAACAAGTAGAAATATTAGACAAGATCAAAGTACTATGCAATGCTACAGTATTGGCTGTATTGAGTGCATGGAACTTCATGAATACACCAAAGGGGCATGAAATCATTAGAATGGTAAGAATCTTTGATTTCGTTCAGTATATTGCCTTCTAACTTTCATTTATATATTACTCAGGCCTGGAGGAAATGTGTTGTTAAGGAATGGAACTTATCTGGCTCTATGCTTTCAGACCTCAAAGTAAGAGCAGCATTGTGCAATTATATTACTCAGGACAAAACTCTACAAGACGAGATTTTTAATAGGACTGGGCAGGAATTTCTGATTATTATTGATGGTACTGAAGACAGCAATGAAGAAGATACTGATGATTTATTCGATGATGATACTGTAGTACCTCTTGCTTCAATCATTAAGGAGACGGTTGGAGTTGATGTTGGGAAAGAATACGAGTTTATTAATGACTACTGTGGAACAATGGATTCTATTGAGTATTCCAACGATCCTGACCATCCAGGCTTTGTCTCAAGTAATCCAGAGGAGAATATATGGTATTACTCAAACGACAGTGTCCTTTGGAACCAGTCTTAGAGGTTTGTGAACTGGTCCTTCTGCTTGTCTATGCAATTTACTCAACAACATTCTGTTGGCAGCTCTTATTATTTAGACGCTAGACAGCATACTCAGGCAATTAGACTTAGATTTTTTTTGTTTTAAATGAAAAATATCATATTTTTTTGTACTATGCTACATAGGTCGAGCACTGGCAACAAGTACTCCGTTACCCGTTACGTTACGCTAAATAAGCAACGCAACAGGTCTACAGTTACCCGTTACCGTTGCCTACATACAGTCCGCTACAGTAAGCATTTTCGTGCTGCCGTGCAACTTCGCCCCGTCGGTCATCCCAATCGGTCCGGGTCTCTGAATAACCTTGCAGCTACCCTTCTGAGTCGCTTTAAGCAGCTTGGTCGGACCACGGACCTTGACGAAGCCATCGAGCATCATCGTGCTGCCCTGAAACTTCGCCCCAATGGTCATCCCGATCGTCCCATGTCTCTGAATAACCTTGCGAATTCCCTTGAAAGTCGATTTAAACAACACGGAAGCACGGTGGACATTGAGGAGGCCATCGAGCATCATCGTACTGCCCTGCGACTTTGCCCCCATGGCCATCCTGATTGTTCCATGTTTCTGAGTAACCTTGCGGCATCCTTGGTGACTCGATTCGAACGAGGAGGACGGCCTGCAGACCTCGATGAGGCCATTGTTCATCATCGTTCTGCTCTGAAACTTCGCCCCAATGGACATCCCAATCGTCTCTTGTCTCTGAGTAACCTTGCATCTTCCCTGGCAACTCGATTTGAACAGTATGGACAGACTGCAGACCTTGACGAGGCCATTGAGCACAATCGTGTCTCCCTGGAGCTTTGCCCCGACAACCATCCCGATCGTTCCGCATTTCTGAACAACCTTGCAAATTCCCTTCAAGCTCGATTTAAACAGAACGGACAGGCTGCAGATCTTGACGAAGCCATTGAGCACCATCGTGCTGCTCTGCACCGCCGCCCCAATGGTCATCCCAGGCGTTTCGCGTCTCTAAATAGCCTCGCGAACTGTCTTCAATTTCGATTTCAACAGCATGGTCGGACTGCAGACCTTGATGGGGCCATCAAACTCTATCGTACTGCCTTGGAACTTCTTCCCGACAGCCATCCGGATCGTTCCACTTCTCTGAACGGCCTTGCAGTTGCCCTGCAAAGACGTTTTGAGCAGCATGGAAAGATCGCAGACCTGGATGAAGCCATTGAGCATCATCGCGCTGTCCTGCATCTTCGCCCCAATGGCCATCCAAATCGTTCCATGGCTCTTGATAACCTTGCAAATTCCCTTCTAATGCGCTATGAACAAAATAGGCAGACTATGGATCTTGATGAAGCCATTGAACATCATCGTGCTGCCTTGCAGCTTCGCCCCGATGGTCATCCCGAACGTGCTGGCACGCTGAATGACCTTGCCTCTTCTCTTCATGCCCGATTTGTACAGAATGGACAGACTGTAGTCCTGGATGAGGCCATTGAGCATGAACGCGTTGCGTTGGATCTTCGCCCTGATGGCCATCCCGGTCGTCTTACGTCTCTAAATAATCTCGCAACTTCCCTTATAGCTAGATTTGAACAGCACGGACTGATCACAGATCTTGATGAGGCCATCAGGTGTCTTCGTACTGCCGTGGAGCTTCTCCCCGACGGCAATCCCGGTCGTTCCACATGTCTGAATAACCTTGCCTGTTCCCTTCGGACTAAATTTGAACGGCATAGGCTGACTGCCGACCTCGATGAAGCCATTGAGCATCATCGTACTGTGTTGCAACTTTGTCCCGATGGTCATCCTGATCATTCTAGATCACTGAGAAACTTGGCCGTGTCATTATTCTCCCGATTCAAGAAGTTTGGGCTTCGGGACGATTTTGAAGAGTGTATACAATTACTCGAACGTGCTGCCGAGCATAAATTTTCTAGCCTCTTCATGCGTCTCACGTCTGCTAGTCAATGGGCTAGATTTGCTCGAAGTCATGCTCATCATACTACATCTCGAGCTTACAAGGTGGCAATGCTACTCCTCCAGCGCAACACCACTGTAAATCCCACTCTTCGCGCACAACACGAGTTCCTTAAAGAGAGAAGGAGCTTCAGAACGCTCGCATTGGACGCAGCGGCCTATGCTGTAGAGGAAAACAAGCTCGGAGAGGCAGTAGAGATACTCGAACAGGGAAGAGGTTTACTCTGGTCGCAGATGCGAGGGTTTAGGACTCCTCTGGATCGCCTTGCAGAAACAAATGGGAAACTTGCTGACAGGTTCAGGGACGTTAGTCTCCAACTGGAGAATCTCGCGACATCATCTCCGGCAATGCTATCTAATTCAAGCGCGATTGAAAACGGGTCACCTATGCTGGACGTGCATAGAGAACGGAAATTGTTCGAGCAGGGACTGAAGCTAAAGAAGCAACTCTCCACTGAACAGGAAGAGATTATTGGCGAGATACGGCAAATCCCCGGGTTGGAGGGCTTCCTTGCAGCTACGCCGTTTAACGTGCTTCAACAGGCCGCTTCAGAGGGTCCAGTGATTGTGGTGAATCATAGTGAGTATCGATCCGATGTGCTCATTGTCCTTTCCCATGAGGATCTCCCTGTTATCTGCCTTCCGCTAGACGAAGAGTTTGGCAAGGATAGCTTTGAGCTGTGCGTCAAACTTTTGGAGGCGCGAAGGCAATTGAAAGTTGACTCCTTGGAATACGACGAGATACTCCGACAAGCAATGAAAATGCTATGGGACAGGATTGTCTTCAAAGTTGTCGCCAGACTGGAAGAGCTTGGGATTACTAAAGGAGCTCGCATGTGGTGGTGCCCTACATCTGTGCTTTCCGCTCTTCCTTTCCATGCAGCAGGTCCGTTCAGGGATGCCAATGGCACTGTAAAGTATTTATTGGACGATTACGTGTCATCATATACTCCGAGTCTCGGGGCTCTCGCCAGTGCTCGGTCGAGGGAAAACGTGGGCAATCCTAGAATGCTTATCGTTAGTGACACCAAATCCCTTAAGTCAACTGGACCCGAAGTTCGTGCCGTTCGGAACAACACGCGGAGCTATGTTTCATCTCATGCATTATTTCTTGATGAGAAGGCACTTCGTAGCACGGTAATGCAGCGTCTACGGAGAGTAACATGGATTCATTTTGCTTGCCACGGACATCTTGGTTCAGGATCGCTTGACTCTTCTTTCAAGCTCTCCGACGGGTGGTTGACATTGCTTGATATCATACGAGCTAACGTTCCAAACGCTGAGTTTGCGTTTCTGTCTGCCTGTCATACTGCCGAACAGGGCGGATTTGGCTTATACGATGAAGTCCTCCACTTGGCTGCCGCAGTGCAATTCTGTGGTTTTCGAAGCGTGATCGGGACAATGTGGGAAATGTACGATCCGGATGGTCCTTTACTGGCTAGAGAGGTTTATTCATACATGGCAGAGTATGAAGACGGTGAAGTGATACATAAGCGTTCTGCAGCTGCGCTTCGTAAAGCCGTTCTGGCATTGAGAGAGCAGGAAGGCGTGCAGACAGAGCGATGGGTTAATTTGGTACACATCGGCGCTTGATTGACGCTTGTGGTACCAGTGCATCATTTTTCTGATGCTTATCTGTTGGACTATCACATTCCGTTTCTCTCCTTTTTCATGTTGTGCCACAGTCAATCCGTAGGTCTGCTGTGCTGTGTGTTTAGTAAAATATAGTCGCTTAAAATAATGAAGGCATAGCAAGTCTCCCAAAACAGGCAAAGGCATATCCGTTTTAGCATGTCACAGAGAATGCGTTCGTCACACTAAACCGTAAACGATCAGCATTTTTGTTTGTTTACACGCATGTATGACATCTGAAAGTCGACCAAGATGACTCCAATGTTCGGGCTTGCTCCCTCCTCTCCTATTGTTTGTAAATGTCATCTCGGTACTACATCTTTTGGGTAATTTTCTCGCATGGCACTGACAGGTTTCCCTAGTTTGTCTCCGAGAGCACGTATGGTAATTTTGACTTTGCTAAGCCGGCTTAAAGCCTTGCGATGATGCATGGCGCCACCATCGACGTAGACTTGTGCTTTGCTTGCTGGCCTAGCTCTCAAAGAAACGGCTATGGGACCACCGGCATGCTTGGGTTCACATTTGACTTGAGAGAGTGGTCGGTGGGTTGCTTGCAACCTTTTTGTTTTCCGTGTTTTCTGACAATTCTGATACTACGATAGCAATCTGAGCTTTGGCTTTGGGGAGTACGAACCTGTTGTGCAATTCGTCTGGTTGGATATTTCTGCACCATGCTGGGCTGAGGCCTTGAAAACATTCGCCATGATCACAACACAAGAACTCGAAACAATCCCAAACCTCTCTCCTGCCTTTCATTAGTTTTAGTCGTGGGTTCAATACAGTGCTTGTGCTCAGGTAATTATCCCCTTGCCGCTTTTGATGGAGCTCATGTTCTTCATATTGTTAATTCTTTTGGGTTATTTGTAGGCGCGAGTCTGTCTGTCTAATATCAGTACTAAAAATAGGTTGTCATCGAGTTGTCTCGATACTTTCGTTACCGCGGATCTGAAAAAGCGACTGGGTACGTTTTCCTGTTTTGGATCCTGCAATTCTTCTAGTAACGTCTCTGTTTCAGCAATGAGCACTGCCGTTCATACAATGGATTCTCGACACAGGCTCCATATAACCTTTGTGCATACAAACATCGAGTATCGAATAAAATGTATGGCTTTAATATCTGAGCGAATCACGCTATACGCCTTTATTCCTTCTCGTATGCCTTTATCCCTTCTCATCGAATTCCGCATTATCCTAAGCCTCAGCTCGCGTCAAAGCTTTGTCGTATTCTTGGCATGGCTGGTGTTGTATATAAGTAAGCACACCTGTTCCCAACCACAGCGACGTGTGCTCCGTGTTAAAGGCTCAAGTCAAGGTGCCTGCTTCTGCTACTGATACCGTTTGTTGGATTAACGTAGCATTGGTCGGTTTCTCTTTTCCTTTGGACCAGTCCCTTCATCTCACATACGAGCAGCGACTGGTAGCATAGAAGACTGTTGGACTCGCGGAGGAGCCTTTGTGTAGAAGAGAGCAAATAGTACGAGCAGGCTTCAAGGTCAACGGAGGATTTCAGGTAATACATCCCTCATCGCTGTTTTTTTCTTCTTTTTTTTTTTACTTCGCGCTGACCAAACTGCTCAGTCAAAGATTCTTGGTGAACTACCGGCACACTCCGCTGCGTTTCCGTACCCACATGGCGTACTACGTGGACCTTGAATTGATTTGCCATGTACTCTGCCGATTGAGCTCTAAACACTGGGAACGCTTTGAACGATCATGGGAGTGGGAACAAATTGACAAGTCTAATTTTTACGGCCGCATTTCACTTAGACTTTGCCCTGAAGGATGTCCAGACCGCTTCAACATATTGAATAATCTTGGAAATTCTCTAAACGTGCGATTCAAGCAATACGGGAGAATAGAAGATCTCGAGGAGCCCATCGAGCATGATCGTGCTGTCCTGCAACTTTGCTGCGATACCCATCCCTATCGGCCTGGATCTCTGAGTAACCTTGCGGCTTCCCTTCAGACTCGACTTCAACGGCATGGTAGGATTGCGGATCTTGATGAGGCCGTCGACTGTAATCGTGTTGCACTGCGTCTTTGTCCCGACGGACATCCCGATCGTTCCATGACTTTGAACAACCTTGCTTATTCTCTTCGAACTCGATTTCAGCAATATGGACTGGCCGCAGACCTTGACGAGGCCATCGAGCATCATCGTAGCGCCCTACAGCTTCGCCCGGAAGGCCATCCCGAACGTTCTATGTCTCTGAATAATCTAGCAAATTCTCTGATGACTCGATTTGAGCATCATGGGCGGACTGTGGACCTTGACGAGGCCATCAAGCATCACCATCTCTCCTTGCAGCTTCGCCCTAACGGTCATCCGGATCGACATATGTCTCTGAATAACATTGCAGAATGCCTTGAGTTTCGATTTAACCAGCGGGGACAAACAGCAGACCTTGACGAGGCCATTGAGTACCATCGTGCCGCACTGCTGCTTGTCTCCGACCGCCATCCCGGCCATGCCACTTCTCTGGCTAACCTTGCTGCTTCCCTTCAAACTCGCTTCAATCAACAAGGACAGACCGCAGACCTCGATGAAGCGATCGAGTACCATCGTACTGCCTTAGAACTTCATCCCAACGGTCATCCCAGTCGTATCGCGTCCCTAACAAACCTTGCCTCCTCTCTTCTCACCCGATTTCAACAGCAGGGTCTGACTGCGGACCTCGACGAGGCCATTGACTATCAACGTGCTGCTCTGCACCTTTGCCCCGTTGGCCATCCAAAGCGGTCCACACCTCTGAATAACCTTGCAGCCTCCCTTCAAGATCGATTTCGACTCTATGGCCAGGTGGCAGATCTTGATGAGGCCATCGAGCACGATATTGCTGCACTTCAACTTTGTCCTGACGGCCATTCCGCACGTTCTTTATCTCTAAACAACCTTGCAGAATCCCTTCGGCGTCGATTTGAGCAGTATGGGCAGACCTCAGACCTTGATGCCGCCATTGAGAAACATCGTGCCGCCCTGCTGCTTCGCCCCAACGGCCATCCTGATCGTTCCATGTCTCTGCATAACCTTGCTGCCTGCCTTCGAACTCGGTTTCTTCAACATGGACAGATGACGGACATTGATGAAGCGATCAAACATCATCGTATTGCCTTACAACTTCGGCCCGATGGCCATCCCGGACGTTCCATTTCATTAATGAGCTTTGCTTTTTCATTGTATTCTCGGTACTTACAGTTTCGGCTGATTGGTGATTTTGAAGAATGTATGGAATTACTCGAACGTGGTGCCGAGCATAAGTTTTCGAGCTTAGTGATGCGTCTCGATATTGCTGGTCAATGGGCTACCCTTGCTCGAACTCATGCGCACTGTACCAAATCTAGGGCTTACAAGGTGGCAATGTTGCTCCTTCAACGTGCAGTCACTTTTAGTCCCACTCTCGCTGCACAGCATGACTTCCTCCAAGGAAACAGCGACCTCGGAAGGCTCGCATTAGACGCTGCTGCCTATGCTATAGAGGAAAATAGGTTCAAAGAGGCCATAGAGATACTTGAGCAGGGGCGGGCCTTACTCTGGTCACTAATGCGTGGGTTTAGGACACCTCTAGAGTACCTTGCAGAAACAAACAAACGGCTCGCTGACAAGTTCAGGAATGTTAATTGCCAGCTGGAAAACCTTGCAACATTGTATAGTGTATCGCAGCCCGGTTTATCCGCGACCAGAAGGAGTTCATCTACACTGAACGTGCCTAGAGAGCGGGTCTTGTTCGAGGAGAGGCTGAGACTGAAGAAGCAACTATCTAATGAGCAGGAGAGGCTTCTAAATGAGATACGGCGAATACCCGGATTCGAAGACTTCCTTACAGCTACACCATTCAAGGTACTGCAGGAGGCAGCTTCGGAGGGTCCGGTAATCGTGGTCAACCATTGCAAATATCGATCCGATGCACTCATTGTACTCTCTCGGGATGATCTACCGGCTGTTTGTGTGCGATTAGATGAAGAATTCTATAATGATAGCACTGATCAGTGCGAGGAGCTCCTGGAAACACGTACAAGTTCTGGAGCTAACTCGCAAGAATATGACAAGATACTCTGCAGAACGATGAAGAGTTTGTGGGATAGGGTAGTCTCCAAGGTAGTCGCCAAACTAGAGGAGCTTGGGATTGCGGAGGGAGCGCGGATATGGTGGTGCCCCACGTCTATATTGTCAGCGCTTCCTTTTCATGCCGCTGGTCCGTTCAAAGATTTACGTGGTACTACCAGTTATCTAATGGACAAATATATCTCATCATATACTCCGACACTCGGGGCGCTGATCAATGCACGATCAGGTAGAATTAGAGGTGAACCAGTGGTACGCGAACCGGTGGTACTTATCGTTGGGGATACCTCACTTGAGTCAGCCGATAAGGAAATTCGCAATATTAGGAGCTGTCGCGGCGTAAGGACCAAAGTGCGTTGCAATGCATCCCGTGATGCGGTGATTAAGGCGCTTCGGAAAACGTCATGGGTGCATTTTGCTTGCCACGGAAGATTGAATTCAAAACCGTTCGACTCTGCCTTCAAATTGTCCGACTGCGGGCTGACTCTACTCGATATTGTCCAAGCGAATCTTCCGAATGCAGAGTTCGCGTTTCTTTCTGCTTGCCACACTGCCGAGCAGCCTCACGATGGTATGCATGATGAAGTACTTCACCTTGCCGCGGCTATGCAGTTCTCTGGATTCCGAAGTGTGATCGGATCGATGTGGGAGCTACTTGATGTAGATGGGCCGTTCTTTGCTAAGGTGGTTTATGAGCACATGTGCAGTTGCAAGGAGAGTGAGGCAACGTACAAGCGTGCGGCTGCGGGACTTCGCAAAGCAGCTGTTAAACTTAAGCTTGAAGGGCGGGATGAGATTCGGACTGAGAGATGGGTGAATTTGATTCACATAGGCGCTTAATGTACTCTAACTCTAGGTGATTTTGACGCATGTGGCAATTAGTTTCACCCACACAAATCCTCTATAGCCAAGTAACAATACAACTCTTAGGTACCTAATGCCAAGGAAGAATCCTTGGACTACTTCTCATATTTTGAAGGAATATCTATAATATCAGACTAACAAATAAGTAAATTGAGAAGTATATAATTACTCATGTTTGACAACATGCTAAAACAGAAAGGGAAAAAAAGGAAGTAGGAGGAAAGGAACTCAGAGCTACTGGTTTAGTAAAAAGATACCTTCCTTCATTATTAATGTTACTAATATTTATACATTTCTAATATATTAAGTAGAGCAATACTACAGACATATTACTGGCACAGAACTCAGAACTTACACTTTAGCAACTGTTGTTTAAAGAATGTTGAAACTCTTTAATAAAATACAGGTTTGATCCAATTTGCTATAAGATACTATTGTATAGTTTCTGTCATTCTAATGTGCCCAAGTAGTATGATTGTTATAAGGACAAATAAGGATTGAGGCCTGTATCTAACAAGAATTTGTAAAATGTAAGACTCTAAATATATTGAGTAGTTTACTAGCAATATATTTTAAAGTATGTATAAAGTATACTAGTAGGAATTATTAAAATTAGCCTTTTCTAATAAATACCAACTAACCTTTTGTAAGTGCTAAGTATTGCATTTATAGTAATTATTATAGTTCTTGTATTAACAAATATAGTATATATTAAAAGTATTGTAACACTATATAACAATTTACTTTTTTACTCATAACTCAATCAAACCTTTATTAATTAAAGTAGTATAAATTGTAGAGTAAAGAAGGACTACTATACTACTAAATAAAAGGCCATTAAATGATGATAAGGAGTTGTAGTGTAAAAGAGAGGCTATCTAAGAAAAAGAAAGTATTATATTACTTATACTCTAATATATTTACTCTACTTCTATAACCTGTAGAAAGTCAGAACTATCTTCAAATGACTTGAAATTTAGTATTTAGTGTATCCACTCTTTACTTTCTTTAATACATCTACTCTAGTAGGTATAGAATTATAAAGTTTGGAAATATAAGAAAGAGGGATTTTGTACTATTCCTTTTACAAAACCTTCCAAAATTCCTTCTTATTCTTTGACTACTCCTTTCTAGCACATACTATAGTATTAACATAGTCTTATATATACTCTATAATATTTATGTTGAGTGAACTAGAAGCTTATAGAAGAAGATGAACTTGATAATACTTAAACTAAGTAGTAGCAAGTTTAAACTTGTACTTTGAATTATTGTTCTAAGCAAAATAAGGATACTTCTTAGTGATTCTAAGCTTTTTCAAAGTAGAGAGAAAAGAACTCTGTAAGATTTGTGTGTACATCTTTATGTTCATCTTACTTTTAATTGTATAAAGAGTCTCAATACTTTTAAAAGTAATACACTCTTAAACTATAATACTTTCACCTTTATATTTTACTATTTTCTATACATAAACATTATTAAACTCCTGCCCAAACCTCTTATAATACTACTAACAACTATTAGAGCTAAAAAGATTGAATTTGGACTTATTAGAGAAAATAATAGAATACTAGTTTAGAATAGTCTAATTTCTAAATATGTAAGTCTATTCTTTTTAAGTTTGTCTTATTTTAATACTAAGAAAGGACTTACAGTAACAAACATAAGCCTTAAGACTATGTTTATAAAGGTAACAATGTATAGTACTCTATCTAACATGAGGGAAGTAGTTTTGTTTAAGATTGATAGTATTATAAGTTAAATCAGAAGTAAGCATTCTGATAGTAAAACAATAGTTAAGTAACAAAAGCTTGGTAGGACAACCTGGCTTAGACATAACAAAGTATAGATTACTAATAAGAAGGAGCTTGTAGTGTAATTAGGAGATAGTAGAATAAGAAAGGCTAAGCCTTTTAGTATACTTAGAGTAAGACATGCTAGCATACTTATAGTCTAATAGACATACTTTACAAGTAGGTGTAGTGTAGTTTATAGAGTAGAATAAAAGTAATACTAAAGTCTAGAGTGTAAAAGGAGGCACAGGTGTCAAAATAATAAGTACTAGGGCAGCCTTTTTAAACTATATATACTGTGTAAATATATAATACAATAGTATTTTTTTAGATCTGTCTGTCTTGTATAATTACTGTACATTTTACAGTTTTTTTTTACATACACATATTTACTGTATATTATACTTAATTTACATGTAATTTATATAAGTATAAGTGTTGTGTAGAATAATGTGTAGAGGCAAAATGAAAAACACACTGTGTGTTACAATACTTTTGACACACACTGTATCATCATTTTTGTCACTGTGGTTACAATTCTGCTTTCTTCCAGAGTAGATTAAAGATGTTTACAACCTGTTTCAAAATACAAGAGGAATTGTAGACAAGTAATAGTAGTGGATCAAAATGAGCAAACCAATTGTTCAGGAATATAATATAATGTGAGGCCCAATTATGTTAGGATAAAGTGTATCATTGTAGTACCATTTGTTTTGTTGTGAGTTACCAAGCTGAGTGATCCAGACTTCTGCTATAATCTATAAGAATAATCTACCTAATTCATTCCTGTATAGCTTCCTAATATTTTCAAATGACAAAACATTGTTATGGAACTGATAGAACTGATGATTCTCAAAGGTCAAGGTAGAGAGTCAATTAGAATTGTTTAGATATCACTGAGTTGCATAGTAATCTTTCCTGTACTACAATATGTACCTTAGACAGTCTTATAATGTTTCTCATGTAGGAAAGATCTTCCAGTGTTTTCACTGCTGTTGACAATGCTCGGAAGACACATTAGATAATTGATGTAACTCACAGACTGTACAAGGCAAGGGAAAAAAGATTGGTGGTACCCACCTCAGTTGCAATATAATTAGACTGAGGTGAATCGACGCGGAACGCGTCGATTACAGTAAGTACGATACCAAATTAGGCGATGATTACCAACAGCAATGATTCACAAGCAAAAGACATCTTCAGCAATAGCTGACATTGTGGTATCAAATTATACAACTGCTACAAAACTAATGCTAAGAGATGGATGCATATAATATGTGTAATAAGAATCTAGTGTATTATTAACACAAGTCAATCAAATACTCTCGTGAGTGCAAGGCGGATTAACTTGCCAACTTATCACTCTGTTGTATGAACAATAGGCCAACTTCTAGGATTGGGAGGACAAGCTTGTGTAAAATGCCTTTTCTTAGTGGGCAAATTGAAACTTTCCGCTTGGTATTTTACCTCCTCGTATTTAAGACGCACGTCCCTCTTTAAATCCTTGAATTTCTTCTTCTGTTTTTCTAACCCTTTCAATTGGTTAGCTTCTCCTTTACACTTTGTCGGAAGTTCCTCAAGCTTTCTTTTGGCGTTTATGAAACTTTCGCAACACTCTTTATGCAATTCTGTAACGGAATCTTCTATGTGCTGAGCATCCTCCCAGGGTTTCGTATACCTTTCCCAGAAGTCGCTACAACCCTTAGCATAGTTAGGGCTGTCGCAGAGCTTGCTTGTGTCTGTCAAGAGCTTTGGCATTCGTTTGCTGCAAAATTCGCCACTGCCGACAATATCCTTAGCATTCTGCTCACGCAGCTCCGTTTCAATAGTAGACTTGGTACTCTCATCGATGCCAAGTTCTTCCTTTACACGTTTAAGGTATCGATCAAGTATTTCACTGTCCCCTTCTGATAGTTTGTCAAAGCGTTTTTCAACTAGTTGGACATTGCTCTTGTACTCCTCCAGCAATATTTCCTTAAATTTGTCCCCTCGCGCTTTAGATCTTGATAAATTTGAAGAATCATCCACATGTTCGCAGAGATTGTGGTAGTAGAAGTGAGTGCAGACTATCTCCGTACAAACGGCGGATATCAACCGGGCTTTGATTTTTGCCTTGACCCAGTTCTTTGCCTCTTCTTCAATGTGCATTTCGATCTCTCTTAAAAGCGCGTCATATTCTTGCTGGAAGGAGAGACCATCCTCACTTCCGGTGCTCCCCTTGGAACGAGCGAACATTGATCTATGATCATGTATGGATATCTTACTCATAGTGGCGATCGGAAAATAGCAAGTGTTCGTCAATGAGCGTTGGTAATGGGGTCGATCCAAGCAATGCGTCGAACGAAGTATTAAGGGCATTAATTTATATCGTTGTTGCGTCTTTGCGCCGATTACAAAGGAAGTATGCAGTAGAAGTAGTATTAGCTCTACGCAAAGCATGAGAAATGGTACGCTTTTGGTTATTCAACGAACGCCAGACTATGCAAGATATGGACTAGGCCAAGATCTTTGCTTCAATGATATGGCCATTAGTGCTCCGCACCGTAGCGTAATTTACGGATACGCCTGCAGCGTATACGCTTACGCACCGTATCGTAAGAGAAAATTTTAGCTGAAAATACGGGCGTATATTTACGCGCGTATGCGTATACCATGAGTAAAAAATTTCCGTATACGCCGTATACGAGTATACGGTATTACTAAGCATATTCTCTAATTAAATACTAAGTTTGAGTTTCTAAACCTCATTTACTTTACTTATTTATATACCAAATCATTTTAATACTATATAACAACCTTGTTTAACTTAAAAAGTACTAGTATGAGTACTACGGTTAGTATGGTTACTACGGTACATCACATGAAGGTTTAGAGCTGTCACGTGATATTAACTCACAACACTCAACTGTCTTATTTCTGTGTGTAAACAGCACTACAATACATTTTCTTAGCTCAGTAATATCAAGCATTTGTTTTGAAAGATGATAGTGTACTTTTATGAGCTATTTTAATGTAAAGTATCTTGTTATATTTGGCACAGCGTATACGCCGTATACGCCGTATACGGAAGTAGCGTATCGTATATGGGTCCTGCTGACCCAGTTTACGCCCGTAATTATACGCGCGTATGCGTATACGTGGGAAATTTTACGCGCGTAAGCGTATACGCTACGCGCGGAGCACTAATGGCCATTGCTTGGTGAACACCAATATAGTAGTTGCAATATAGAGGCTCTAGTCCCTTCTTGTACAATGCTAATGCCGTCCATCTATAATCTCTTCAGAAAGCTTATGTATGAGCAATCTCAGTAAGAGCCGGCAAACGTCCAGTCATGACGTGTTACTCAATGGCACTGGGGCATACAGTGCACACTGCACGGTGCGTCTGAGAGAAGCAGGCAGCGTCAGTAGGGCCGGAAAGCAAGAGAATCCTTTCGACAAATTCGAGAGCTAAGCCAAGGAGGATAGATGCCATCGTGTCCAGAGCTAAGTGGGATAAGTAAAGTGAAGTGTATTAGTCCAATCCATCATGAGGTTACAGTCTGACACGCTGATACTGCACGTGGGAACGTAATACGCATGCAGTGCCATGCACATTATTGGTCTAGTTTATTCCTCTTCGAGAAAGCCACATCACCAAAACGTGCAGAGTCTGACAAGGCAATATATTTACATGTAGACTTTATAAGTGAATATAAGGATCCACAATATGTAAAAAATATATGTCTTAGCAGTAAATTCCAATACATTTTCGTGTTCGATTTGGTGATGGCCATTACATGTAGTCTTTGCTTCGAGCATAAGAACGATACCAACACAGAAATATGATGAAAGCCTTGTTATTAAGTTGTTAACAATAGGGCAGAGGTCATGGAACACTAAAATTGAAATTGATAATTTATGAATGTCGGTGCGATTAGCACATTAATGCTACTCGATTACGTGCTAAATTCAGTTGCAATGGACTCCGATACTGAACGCTTGGGCAACGATCTCACTTCGGGCTAATCGCCATGTACAGTATATAAATACAATGCAATGCTATGTCTCTAACATCTCAGTAACGTGCCACGAAGAAGTAGAGCTCGCGACCAAGAATGAACACGGACCACGCCAACGCAAACCAGCGGATGACACGCAATGCAATGGGAAGCCTACGATCTTCCTCAACTGAGAAATCTCCATCGCTTAGAGGTGTTCCACCGAATAACGGAGGACGAGACGTATCGTATGGCTCATATGAAGCATTCGTCATTGAATGGTAGGTCGCCATGAATGTGTCGCCTAGACGAGAAATACATCAATTGGTAAGAATCTCGCATCTCAAAATATGATAGGTATATTTTAGTTTACTTACGCTTCCTGCGCCGCACGGGAGCTGTAGCTCTTCCAACAGCGTTACGTGCGTGTCCGTCCATGCGTCGATAGGCATCCTTGCCGAACCAAACGGGGAGCATGAGAATATGCGGCCATGCCCAGAGGATGAGCAGAGCGAATGAGATGAAGTAAGGATGTTCGAGCGCTGTGCGGTATCATTCGTATCAAATTGGATTAGAATATATATTAGAATTTTTTAAAGAGAATATACGTACTTTCGTCATTAATGCCCTGCGCGGCGTGTAAAACCCAGTCGGAAAACTTGTTCCATGCATCCTTCATACTTCCATCCTCAATTGGATTGATCTCCTCGCTGAAAGGTACAGTATCGGTTGAAGAAGGTGGCGCCATCGTAGTTGGGTGCTGGGTTGCAGCTGTTATTCGTTGCTACGCCATCACAGGCCTGTGGGTTAAATACGAAAGAACACGCCGTAAACGCACTGGCTTAATACTTGCGTATCAACGACGTCAGAGACTCCGAGAGTGATGTGTGCATTTGTGGCAAGGCGTGCACAGTGATTGATCATTTTCATTCACGAAGATTTCATTTCTTCTGATAAGTACATACTTCGGCATGACAGTGTTTAGAGATGGCTACGATATTCACTTTCACCCACCCGTCCTACTTGGTTCGCTTCACCGGCCGGCACCGATGCAAGACTCTTGAGACCAGTCAAGCCAAGCTCTTCAGATTTGATAAGGATTCCCTGCGTGTAATTGATAAGACAAGATAAGATATTTTCAAAACACGATGCATACCAGTTGCTTAGACATGTAACGGCCACAGTAGAAATCACCAACGGCATACCAAAGCTACAGTATTTGGAGGCGGGTTAGTGTAAGTTTAACTGCATTCTAGGAGAGATAGATGAAATATGTACTCTTGGATAACCGGAACGACGGAAGCAACCTCTAATCTCGCCTTCCTCATCAAGACCCCAAACATTGCATGTTTTGTCAATGACGGCGTCACCGAAAATCTTTCTCATCGTGGTTCGAATATTTTGGTATCCGGTACTAGCCCAGGTAGGTATGCGTCAATGCAAGTATCGTGAACACGGCAATGCGCTTTCAAACGTACGCAAAAATGACCGAGTCTGCTTCCAGATCAGAACCATCGGTAAACACAACACCATTCTCCTTGAAACGGTCGATTTCTACACCAGATTTTATCTTGATTTTACAATTGATGATCATGTCTGCTGCTCCGACGTCAATCCCTAGTTAAAGTATAAGAGCGATAGTTAGAAGACACCGGTATGCTACGTACAGTAACCTGCGACACAAAATCAGCATCACCAAATATAAAAAAGACCGTAAGGCACACCTCCTGATCTTTCGAACACCAGAATCTTGTTACCAGCTCCGTCAGGTCCGTCAGAAACGTTTAGCCCTTTCTCTTTGAGGCCTTCGTGCATCTCGCGATCGAACTCTGCTGACTTCCTGTTCGTTGCTACTAGTATTCTCCTGAGCTGACCCATAGGCATAGCAGCAATCTTGAAATCGATAACGTCGGTAGGGACTCCTTCTGGAAATACTGCATCCCATTCCTTTTGCTTCAATGCAGACGAGATGACAACTGTTTCCGACCGCTGTAGCATCGTCACCTCCTTCGCACCGCGAACGACCAGATCTTGACAGATATCCGCAGAAGTATTTCCGGCTCCAACAACGAGGACACGCTTCCCGGTAAATGGATGTCCACCCTGAAATGCCGATGCGTGAATTATCGCGCCTTTGAAAAGGTCCGAAGAAGGTATGCGGGGCATAATTGGTTCACCGAGCAGACCGGCCGCAAGAACAACATGATTGGGATGGATTACGACTTTTTGTCCATTCTTGTCAATCGGGACAGTCCACCTACCAGTTACTGCATCATATATTGGCCCAGGAAGCAGAGAGGAAGATGTCCAAACGACTAAATCCAGAGATTCTGCATATTGTTCTAACCAGGCGGCAACTTTCTCACGAGGAGCAAATATTGGCCAATTTTTCGGAAAAGGTGCGTAAAGAACTAGCGAGACATATAAGGTACGAAAGGAGGCAGGAATGCAACCCTTACGATGATGATGAGTACGTGGTGTGTGTAAAGTCAATGTCGGGTAGCGCATCCGCCAGCTATCACCAACGCGAGCAGTTTTATCGATCACAAGTGTGCGAATGTTCATCTGTTGGAATCGCGCGGCGGTTTGAAGGCCCGACTGTCCCGCACCGACTGTCATGGATATCAGATGGCGGCTTGAGGACGACGAAGGGGAATCACTCGCCAATAAGGACCTGAGGGTCTTTCTCAATTGCTGCCCGCCGCTCTCCGATAACCTCTTCCCAAGCAATCGTATGTCCTCCATACAGCCCTAGCTCATGGCCAAGCTCTTCGTGGCCTATAATCTCGTCTGCCTCAAGGTAGACTGAGAAAGCTTTCCAAGTTTCTCTATGCCGAACGAGTCTTGCTATTCCTCGGCCCTTTATTAACAACGTCTTGAAAATAAATGCAAACTCAACGCCGGGCTCCGTTGATTCTGGAACCCCAAACGTCGATGGTGGAATTCCCGACTGTTCGTACAAGGCGAGACCGTCAATTCTTGTACCAGGGAGCACCTCATGGAGGTAATGAGCAATCTTCTCTGGTCCTTCTAGAGCTCGAGTATCCCAACCGAAGACGAGAGAGTCCTTTAGCCAACCATTTTGTAAGAAAAGTGGCGCTACGGAATCCGCTCTCTTTGCTGTCAAGTGGTCCGAGAACAGAGCAAACCAATCCAAAGCTACTTGACGAGCATCAAGTGTCGTCCCGTCCATGGGAGAAAGCAACGGTCTGACCCCGGCTCATTATATTACCAGCCCTTCTTGACTGTGTAATTAGAACCGTGGAGCAGCTGAATATTGAATGACTACTCTGGCAATGGCATTACTAGGAGATGCTGAGTCCACTGACTTCTTGGACGGGGTCAGTCGGATGACTATTCTTTGCTTCGAAGAATCCGTGAGCAATGGCTTGCAAAATACAATAGCATGCCTTGGACGATAGCATGACGGAGGACACAAGAAATGGAGAGGTGAACAGTTCATGGAGATCGGCGCTTGCCGGAACGGATTTTGTCAGTCACTTTTGCTTCACGTATTCCAGTTGCTCAACTAAAACAGACTCTGTTCCAATCACGCAGTGCGGCTGTAGCAACTCAACGTTACAGATAAAACCCCCTCGAACAGAGCGTTTACTCGTACTGTAATTAGTGCATCAGCTCAAATGAGCCTAGCGGTTCTTTGATCTCTGTACCACTGCAACGAATCATTGACCTGATTACCCTACACGAGATGAGACTCGGGCTCATTTGTTTCGAAGAGGTGCTTTTAACGATCGTCTGTCCCAGCTATGTTGCCGAGTCTGCGTGAAATACTCTGGGACGCTCAAGCCACCTGCTATATGTGTATTCTGCTTTCCTAGCCAGATTACTCCACGACATGAATACTATTCTAACTTCCTACGTCGGTCAAAACCAATTGTTTAACGTGCGCTCGCAATTACCTCGAGTACTCTTGCGTGCGGCTAACGACACTCTGTCCCCGAATATAGTATGCAGCAGGTCAGGGCAGAATTCTCTACATTGAATTATATTAACAAGTATCGGACCTGCAGTTGCTGGCGCCGCTCTTTTGGTGGGTCCAATGTTTGAAGTAACTTATACGGCTGCTTATATATTTCGAACAAGGCCTATGACTATTTTTTAACTTTAGATGCAGAGGTATGAAGGTCGATTCTGGTTCGCATGGCGTTCGACTGAGGCTGAGTCAATTATTTTTGTCTAGATCGACTTCGTTTGGCACTCTAGATGGAGCTTTGCCAAAATGCTATTCTTCATCCTTAGGTATTCTGCTTTCTTGGGATCGGGTGCTAACATGACGAGTACGTTTTCAAACACAAATCTTGTATTACTTGTGGTGAATCAATGGTTGAATCTCTAGTGTCATACATTAGTACACTTTTTCAAGACGTAAATGAATGGCCTACATATTGCTCCTATTCTCTAGGATATAATTGACTGATAACGCTAATTAGCATCTCTGTGGCAGCTTCGACTCTGCCTCTAAGGGTGAGTCTTACTCAATATTATGGTACTGCAATACTAAACAAAATGTTTCTCACATATAGTTCTAATGATGATAACCGTCTTCGTTTCAGAATGTCTGTTGACTTTCGCCAACAAATTACGTTTTGCTGACAACTATGAACAAATATCAGTGGTAATGGTCATACGAGTATGCGCGTTGTACAACGGATCTCGTCAAGTGCTTGTTTTCCTCATTGCACTCACCATGGTCAGATGTCTACATCAGATTATTATGATTATCTTGGCTGATCTTGAGGCAGTGTGCAACAGCATCAACTATAACAATCAGTGTGATGTCTCAAAACCATAGGACATGTAAGGCGGCTCAATTCCTGAACAAATGCGCTAATCTTTCTTGTCTATAAGGGGTTGAATCACCTATTCCACGACTAGGAACGTGCATTCATTTGAGTACGAACGTGACCCAAACTGTTAATTTCTACGCTGTATTTGTAGTGCTTATGATTTTCCAATTCGGTGCGCCGTTTATAAGCTTACTCTAAACATATTGACGGTTCATTCCGTGTATATAGTGCTCATCATTCTAACCATATGGAAAGGGGTATCTCAGTGTATATTTCTTTGCTCATAATAATCTACGAATGCACTTGTTAACCTACTAAAAGGGCAGCTAATGGACAGTAGAAGCCATTTAGTCACAATTTTCTATCGTGATGGTGGGTACTAATGCAATATTACACAAAGATGCGCTGATTTACTCTAAAGAGTGTAGGAGCTTTGTACTTTGTCTGTTTATTCTGTAATTGCACCTTTCAATACTATACGGGTTTAGTTATTCACACAGCTCATCCTTCTTTACAGTGCTGTCACTGGCGAACTGTCTTACGATTGCAGTGCAGAAGACTTCAGTAAGTTACCAGTTTTTCCTTGATTTCCGCTGGCTAATCCTTTATTGCATTCTAGTTCGTTTACTTAGAAGAGTATGTGTAAGCTCGTCAGATGCGAAGCACTTATCAATGATCGTCCTTGTAGAATTCAGCGAGTATTTCATTCTATCCTTTCGACAAGGATGATGATAAATCTGCGAGAGGCAAGCCGCCGCAACGCCCAGCTAACAACTTCAGAACACGAAATCACCCACTAAATTGACGAATAATCCCGTCCCCGGCCGCGTTCTGGTGTAGGTTGTGACTGTAGATAATTTTGTCGTGCAAAGTTTAGTTATGGAAACACTTTTCACTGAAATTAAAGGGCATATTTTTCTTTAAGAGGATACTGTTTCTGATTCCAAATATCGTTGTTTCTCATTTTGTGGTCGCAAAAGGTGTCCCGAACGCTGTATGATTTCCCATAAAGGAGTATGACGAATACTCACGTGACCTAGGAACTAATTAAATTGAACCGAAACGTAGAGCCGCGACGCCTTACCTTGAGCATTAACCACAACGTCGTCGATATTGGCAGCGGCGAAACTGTGTCTGATGTCTTCGACTGGGGGAGACCCCTCTACTGTTATTCACTCACAACCGAGAGCTGCATACAACGACGCTGTCATGCGGGACCGTTCTCATGGTGCCGCCGCCTCATCACTCAAGCGGCATGCTTCTCCTCCTGAAGCCACCGAAGAAAGAAAGAGAAGAAAGACGAAAAAAGACGATATGGATAGTTGTGCTAATGATGACGCAAATGATCAGTCTCTCCATACAATCGATGGCGACCGCTTGGCCGAAGATCTCGCACAGGAGCTGCAATGTGGATGCTGCTCTGGACTCGTATACAAGCCTGTTGTCGTGGTACCATGTGACCATTTCTTCTGCGGAAGGTATTGTGCTTGAACTATTACAGTTATTTATCTTTGCTAAACTGTCTTTATTAGTTGCTGCACGCTCTGGGTGAAGGTGAGCCACCCCCTGACATATCTTGCGAGTGACATTTGCTAATCCAGTCCTCTTGCAACGAAGAACGGCGGAACAAACTGTCCTGCTTGCCGTAGCGTCTCTACTGTAGTTATGCCATCACGAGCGCTTCAATCTATGGTAGATGTCCTTCTCCGAGCTGCGCCGCACTGTCAAAGAAGTGAGCGAGAACGCATGCAGGCTGACGAAATTTATCCAGTCTGTCGTTCTTTCAGAGTATGTTCCTCGGTATCGAGCTTTTAGTGCAATTCTCTTATCGTCTTCTAGATCCCGGCGCCGAGAGAACCCTCCCCAGATCCAGTCATCCCAACCAACACAGATTTCTTGCAGCCCTGCCCTCATTGCTCACCAAATAATCCCTACCGCTGGGCATGCCCAAGGCCCGTTGCAGACCCGGTTAATGACCCTGATAATGCATGGCGTTCGGATTCCGGGACTCCTCCAGGCCATGGTTTCTGTGGCAATTGGTCAGTAATTGCCACACGTCTATTGATATTCTTTGGGTTCATAATCGTTACAGTGAGGTGCTCTTGGCCTTAAGGGCACCATCGACGACTCGTTGCGACTTCTGTCAGGTCTCCTTCTGCGGCATCAGTGTCCAAGGACGCTGTGTCGCTCTCGACATACCGGCACAGAGCCCACACGGCATGGCCGACGTCCTTGATCTCATTCAGAGCCCCGAGATTTACGATTGTTTTGAAGGGAATACCGTTGAAGTTGAACTCATGCTAGACTATATGACAACGCAACGCCTCACTCCAAAGCAAGTATATCGACAGGTAAGTGAATTGCATCATCGCAAAAATCAATGTCAATGACTAAACCCTTCCTCAGATTGCTGCGCATATCCAGTCTCAGCCGGAAGGCTTCCGCCCCCTCATCGAGCAAGATTTGTTCATGGACATGCATGCAGTTCCGCCCGCAGCTGAGTCTGAGGCAAATGCCCCACGTCGACTCATCTGTCGCCTCTGTGCAGCGGAGGTATTCCTATATGGTTTGCGCGACTGGTGGGTTCGCGAACGCCATAATGCTGTTCGTGATGGCATCCTGGAGGCAAGGAAAGACTGCCCTGAAGGAGGATCGTGCACCCGTATAGAGGATCCTGGTTAGTGAATCTTTCTTTTTTTTCGGATCCTTCTCTGATGTAGTTATTTAGCGCATGCGAAAGAGTGTAAGTAGATGTGCCTCATCAAGTTATCCAAACTTACTTTTTCAATGTAGTCAATCATATTATCTCTCATCCGCCAGCGCCTACTGAGAGAGCCCAACCGGTGGTGACGCCCCCCGCCGAGGTATCATCATCCACACACTCCGTTCATCCGACTCATCGGGGTCTAACAAGATTAGCGGGGACGAGCGCACTTTTCTTGCCTCCTATTTCTTCAGACACTCCCGCGTCGCCTGCAACCCTTCCCAGCATTCCGAGTTTGGTCAACCCACAATATCAGTCAATGAATGACATTTTCTTCCCTTCTGGACTGGGCCTTTCCCGACGACCCGAGGAAAGCCAATTTCTACACCTGAATCCTCCTAGTCGTGTTCGGAACGAGTTCCAATCTCGTAATGACGCTCCCACTAGAGGGCGTATAGCAGCCTTACAAGCGAGCAGTGACGACAGCGGGTTAGCGGAGCCGTCATCATCGCAATCTCAGCAGGCCGTGGAAGCGCTACTCACACAGAATATACCTATGGATCCTCATGGCGGCGCAGGACCCGGTCAAGACGACGCAGACAGAGACCTTGTTGACATCATGTCAGTCGGACATCTTGCAACACATTTCATGCCAGAGCCTGCTGAGCAAGCCGAAGCGAGTTTTCCCAGCCGTAGGCGTCTACGTAGTCCATTGAAAACAAATATGAACGACGACGCCTCCATTGGAGGGGCTGATGCTATTCCCGCGTCTCCGTACGTGTCTCATATTCTGCGTGACGTGGGTTATGAGACTGCAGACGCGAACCCAACTCCAACATCGAGTAATCACCGTGTGCGAGTCGAATGAGCACGCACCAAGCTTTCGTTCGTTATTCCCTTGGAACGCTGTGAACAAACTACTGCATTAACGACAAACTTAGACCATGCATTACACTGATGGTGGAATTTTCCTTTGTCATATCATATTCAATTTCACATCATTCCTTGACCTTTTTCCCCATTATACGAATTGTGCAATGACCGGCGCCCGAAACGTACATTCACATTCATTTCTTATCTTCCTCTTTCCTCACATGATATCGCACATCGTCCTCGGATTTCCCGTTCCACACAAGGTTCAATTTTCTCCTTCGCCGTGATTTATGTTGTATTCATTTAACAATTGTAGTAAATCACATTCCTTTATATTTTCTACTATATCGGGCGTTGCTGTAGTTCTGTACCTGTCTTCATCCTCATTTTCCGAAGCACAAAGCAATGTACTATGCCACGTTACGACCTAACTCGTGTTTCCCGTGTTTATGATATCTTTGCCATGCTTCTGATGGTGCAATGGAATCTCAACCGTATGTTACGCATCATTTCAGTTCACCATTGTGCTTCTCCAGTTAGGTCTTATCTCTGAGCTCGCAAGTTGGAATCGCTGAATTCTAGGCTCTCTGGGCAGGATATAGCAACATGGTCCTGCCTTTGAATGGGGTCACTACTTTAGAGGACACCTGGAGTTGTAGACCCACAATGTATTCTGAAAAGACATCACATTGAGTTATGATTTGGATGAACAACCCTGTGTATGCATCAATTGCGAGTTCACTGTGGCACGAGGTGCAACTTGGGCTGCAGAAAGGACTTTGATCAGAACCTTGCATATATTATTGTATCTATGATATGCTGCATCAACCCCATGTAGCCAAAGTATCTGTAATATTCGTGCATGGCGTGATGAAGGTAAAAGGGGGAAGACATAAGGTCGTTGCTCATATGTTTTCCTGTTTCCGAGTCGGAATAATGGACATGCAGGGCAAGTTCTTCGAATATACTTAAAAGCACAGTAGTGCTTCCGCGATAAATAGGTAAGCTCTAAACAAACGGGGATAAAACAGAATTGATATAATGCCAAAAGTAAAACGGGTGGGAGTCGAAGGTCTGAGCGAGCATTGAAATAGAACTTTGGATCCGGTGATCAACGCGATCGACGCTGCACTTTATGAACATGAACATTTTGACGTTTTTTCCCAACCAACATTGTAACTCCAATATGCTACTCTGGAACGAGAGGATGCATCTATATTAATATTATGTGGAAGTGCGTTTCCTAAGTGCCCTCGTTAATACTCTGCAATAGTAATGCAATAAGAATGTTGTGAATAACTTGTCATATCAAATGCATATGTGGCGAATGTCCAGCTGTGCACTTTAACAAGAACGTCTCCGATCTACAAGCAAGGTAGGACAGGCGCGGCGCTCGGTATTCGTATCGCCTTCTGGCCCGTGTTATCACTGTCTCAGATGTGTCGGGTACGTTTAGTGTATTCATCATAAGCTTCTTAGTAGTAGAGCAAGGAGGCAAAGACAAGAAAAGTATCTGACATCGATTTTGTGCCTTAGTCTGTCAGGCATCAAATTGCGAGAAAATGGCACTGGGAAGAAATTATTCAGTAGTAAAACAAGACAATTTTTGATGTACACAGAGCGGTGCAGAAAAATATCGGCCTTAGGAGCAGCACTGCCTTCAGGCAAGACATGTCTGCCGCTACATCCAGGTTCCTGCTGCGAATGCACAAGAATGAAACGAGAATGTAACAGCGCTTTGTGAGTAATAAGCAGATGTCTTCGCTTATTCTGACGTATTACGACTCGATCGTTCAAAGCAATCCATATCACTTGACGTTGTACGCTGAAACATTTCATGTATCTGATAATGCCAAGGAATTCGGGAATCAGAGTAGTGCTGAGTACTACTCTCTCCACATCGGAATCGATCATGAAAGTCGGCGTAGGAACAACCATCGGTTGAAGGCTCAATCCAATTAAGATTGTGAAGGAGGAAAGTGCATGCACAATAAGTCCACCGTTAGAAGGTGTAGTCGACACCCTGAAACAAAGACATTGGTAAGTGACTAGTGTATGAAGTAGATTAATAAATGTATCACCAGCATATGTAGCATAGTCGGACTTAGAATGGACAAGTTTCGAGGAGCTGCTAGATCGTTTAGCTCAAACAAGTTAGGCCCTGCGAGCCTGTGCCTCTCCACACCTGCCCTTAAATTAAGTACCTTCGGAAAGGATCCTGTTAGGCTGCCGTGTGTCGCTTTGCTACCAAGCACATTAATAAATCGCATCGAGGTTAGGCGTTACTCTGCATATACCAGGACTAGTAGTGGTGCTAGGCACTAGTTGGTACTGGTATCTCGCTAGCAAATCGACAAACTTGACCTTGTCTAATTTGCTTCCGAGCGGCTGGGCTAGATTTGTCATGAATAGTGAGGTATAATAAGTAAGACTTTCGCAAACCTTCTACCACAAAATTGGTTAGCGTCCCAGTTCAGGGAAAGGGTAATTGCATAACGTCGTATCGAGAGTCGGTTTGCCTAGTGGTAATCTTACCTTAACTCCAAGATTGACATGAGAAGAGTGTCCGACGTCGGGCTTACTCGTGCTGCCTGGATGATCATTGATATTACCCGATCAAGTAATATCATGTCCGTGTGATTCTGATGATTCTTGTCGATATCAAGAGGCTGAGATACGAGGAAGATTGGGTAGGACGGCGCATCAGTGGTTCCATATTTCTAGTCTGGACGATCATAGTACTCGGTTAGACAGAACAGAGAATTAAATTGCTAGAAAATTTGACCAATTCCATTGCACATTCTGATATGCTCTTCATTTTCCCGTCATCTTCTGTAATAGTATCACAACATTGCCTGGATATTACCTGGTTCAACTGTATGGCAGAATTCGTGGTGCACTTGCTCTCATGAGCAGCGGACTAAACCTTTCTTCCATTTTTACCTCATAGTTCCTTATTGTTCAACGGCAGTACACGCACCGCGGATTCCCGGAAATTTCCACGCTGAAAATCATCTTCCTTCATTTTGGAGTCCCACGAACATAGCAATCAACTCAATGACGATCAAACAATTGTACAGAGGATATAAAGGATGGTTGCGGTCATTGCGCGGCATCACTAGCGCCGATACACGAAACGTCGTTCGTGTCGACCTTCTTTCCATTACTTACCTCGATTTCTCTCATGCAGCCCCTCCTTCGACATTTCGACCTCGGACATTTCCTTGGTTAAGCGAATCAGTCAAACGCACATCGCTTAGTCCGTTCGCACTACAACTGTGATTAGTCTTACCGGATAACGCAGTATCCGAAGGGTTCATTGCTTTCTCGCATAGAAAACGTGATGTTGTGGTTTGTGCATGAAGACGGTACCTGGCCAATATCAAAAGGAAGGTCACCGGAAAATCATTTTATCACGCACTACTGAGAGAGCGCGTTGCGAACCCTATTTTACAATAACAAATGGAAAGAGGAAGAAAAGCTTAGATTTGCCGATCAGCATCGGCACCACGCAGAAAGAAGTAAGGAATTACAAGCTTACTCAGTTACTAGGAATCTGTAAGGAGGAAAACGTACATGGTCAAGTTCGGGGAGATGGAAGATCGAAGTGTGGAAGGATGTGGCGAAAACAACGTACCCACTTCCGTTTAAACACTTCGATCTGCCGTGCGCATTTCTCACCAGTCAAACCTTCCGGATTGTCTTCGCGAAGCGCATGTTCAATTACTCTTCAAAGTGCTCTGTGAATCATCTCCACCATTCGCGCAGCGTTGTTGCATAATGGGGCGCAATGTTAGATACGGAGTTCACGACGAGCCGACCACGCGATCAATCCGTGAGTGCTTGGATGAGTAACGTGGGCGTTAGCAAGGAGCCAGACGGAAATTCTAAGGATAATTAAAGATGAGAACATGACAATGGCGCGCTAATTACAACAAACGGAATTACTTTGAATAGTCGTGAAAGTCAATTAAGTCTAAAAACTCTCCACAATACACTGACAACACTCACTCATTTATGAAGGAAGACTATTTTGCTCATGTGGCAGTAAGTCTCTTAAAGCAAATTTAGGACACGGTCTCGTTAGGTAGTATTCCTGTGCACTTGTTATTGGGATGGTGATAATCTGAACGGCGCCGGTGATAGTGCCTGGTTTCAATGCATATCTTACAACGTGAGAGTACTCTTCAAGCTGCGATCGTCCGACGGCTTGACCATCTCGGTGCTGATAAGAAGGTTGGATAACCCTACGAATTTGGTTGGCATGGCACGATGGTCCAGCAAGTGCACTCGCACACAAGAGATATCTAACTCCGGTCCGGCGTATGTGTTCTCGCGCGAGTGTTTCTGGATGAAGGTAGAGCGTGATAATGTTAATGACTGGTCCGGGAGCGAGCGCTGCTATTCGTATCGCGAATGATTCATCGCAGGACCAACCTCGGCCCATACGTTATCCGGGAACAATACACTGTGGGTTATTTGTTCGGCGTAACAGTTGGTGTCGGCAAGGGGCGCTTAACTCCCGGATTGAGAGTCCGTAAGAGATCGTCATCGAATCCTTGGAGGTTGTGTAGAAATAGACCATGCACTCGGGCATGAATTATTCAAACATGTTGTTTGAAACACCCTAGAGCAGCCACTTAACCTTCTGATAAATCATGTAGAAGCGAGAGCAGGCAGGAATTAAAACCAAGTTACTCATCTTTTCAATACTACGAAAGAATGCCTGCAAAACAGAGTCACGTCAGGTCTTATAGTGTTAGGTAACGTAAATGAGAAACTAGATTGTTGTGTCTAATTCGGTCCATGTACATCCGGGTTACACCTTTCCACATAACGGGTTATTTTGTTTAGTTCCTTCATACCTACGAAGGAATACCATATCTTCGGTGATTATCCGTAGGTGTCTTTAATACTGTTCTTAAATAGTTTGAAACGGGAGTGTTAGAGCATAAAAATGAGTACGAGATTAATAACGAGTATATAGGACTAAGCACACATCATTAGCTCATGTGGCAGAAGCTCTCTAATGCCGGTGTTAGAGGACTCACGGAGGTACATTCTCTGTGAGTTTCGTCATCAGCGCGATCTCCGCTTTACCTGAACCTCGAGTGCAATCCTATATAGTTCATCATGTTTCAACTACAAGGCTCAGAAGGTGAAAACGGGGAAGGCCTGTTAATAGTCATTTCGGTTTGGAGCCTTGATACTGGTCGAAGTGAGAAAAGATCCCACCCCGGACAACGATCGCTCGCGGTGACAGAAGAGTGAAGCTGGCGCTGACAGTGATGACGCTTAAATAATTAAAATAGCAACGTCGATCACCGCCGATCATCTTATTTGTGTAAAGCCATGTGATTGCGCCGTCCAGTCCACCCATCATCTCTCAAAAGACGACTGATGAGATCAAGCATGAATCAAGTCTCATGAAAGTATCACACATAAGATGGAGATGATTTCCATTTGAATTGTTCCAATAGCATTAACGAATAGTCAAATGATATACACAAAGCATACGATGTAGCTCCGAGACTGAACTATCAAAATACTGCCTCAAGGCTTTAAGTTAATTCCATCCGAATCAGGGGTAAGAAAGGAACGAACGAGTCCAAGCAAAGAACTCTATTAAATATTGTAAAGGTTTGTAAAGTGGAAAAGTGAGATGAGATGTGATGGGTTGACAAATCACGGTAATAAATTGGACGAGAGCAAGGGTCAATGGGCGGTGGGAGATGTCATTTAGACTTTAGAGGCTCAATAGCGCTTTCGCATCACTCGGTTGGAATGGATGCTCTTCCTCAACAGAGCGTACAAGCGCTTCAGCCTTGGCATTGCGTGGCTTCACGGATGTTTTGTATTCGACAGGGTGACTGATGATACCGGGAGTGAATGCGACAATAGGATCCACTTCTTTGCCGTTCTCGGTGACCTTGAAAATGTTGAATACGGCAAGAGACTGGGCAATGCTGAGGTATACTGAGGCATCAGCAAGCTCACGACCAGGGCAAATACGACGACCGAAGCCGAAACAAAGCAGATGAGGGTCCATTTCGGCTGCGCGGCCGTCAACTCCGAGGAATCGCTCTGGCTTGAAGGTCATTGGGTCATGGTAGTTTTTTGGGTCATGCATGAAGCCCCTGTGAAATGATAATATTTAGAATAGAATCCGGATAGTCGTATGATTTTGCTGACCAAATGTTGGGAATGAGTAGTGTGCCCTTTGGAATGAAATGGCCCTCATAAATGTCATCCTCCGTCGTCAAATGGGGGAGACCCATTGGTGCAACAGGGTGCCAGCGAAGGACTTCTTTCACGATTGCATCAATGTACGGGAGGTCTTCGCGATCCTCAAAAGTAGGAAGGCGGTCATTGCCAATCACACGATCAATCTCCTCCTGCGCCTTGCGCTGCACCTCGGGGTACACGGTCATCGCAAGGAAGAAACATGCCATTGAAGATACGGTCTATAGAATTCCGATCGATCATTAAGTCAATTACTCAATCAATTGATTTCCGATAGGAGCTAGAGCGGAAAAGGGACATACAGTATCGGCGCCACCGGAGTAAAGCGATGCAGCAGACCATTTCACAACGAATTCCTCCTCGGAGCTGAGGTTACCTTTCTCTAGAAGTGCAGCGGTGTACGAGGGAGCGGCGACTCCGGCAGCCATCTGCTGCTTAACAAATGCATGTGGCTTCTCAGCGAGTTCCGTAAGCGTCTTTTTCCAACGTGCCGCGGTGCGTTTGAATCCCGTGCCCGGTAACCAATCAGGTACATGTTTCACTAATAGCAACACATTCAATGCGGAATTCTTGGGACTGTAAAAAACGGAACGGATCACGCACAGAAAGGGAGTGTATCCACAAGCCAAGCGCCGGGCACTACCGAGAGCGAGAACTGCACGAGTGCCTCATCAGCAAGGTCAACAAGCGGGTCCCGGTCGCGGGGTTCAATCGTGTAACCATGAGATATCTTCAGAATGATAGCTCCGGCCTCGCTGTAAACCCGAATAGATAAATGTGAGCTCTTTGTGATCCGTCTTATAACCAGGATGATTGACGTACGTCCGAATATGGTGAAGGAGCTTATCCGGCTCTTCGAGTACACGAAGGAGGAAGCGTCTAACCTCGACATCTTGGTGGGGGTAGAAGCGGGAAACGGCCTGTTTGGTGCCCAGGAGTGCATGGATGTTCTTACGGTATGCACGGAAGCGGTCGGAGTACGTTTGGCTTGACAGCGCATTCTCCCAACCCACCCTAAAAATTGTGAGAAAGCTAGTTTCTAAACATAAATGCGAATTAAATACAAACATCTCTCCACCAAAGACCATCCGTGGGCGAGAGGAGTGAAGCGCCGAACGCTTTTCCATGAGATCGAAAGCAATACGCTGGTCGCTAATGATAATCAAAGTTTGACCAAAGATTGTAAGGGAACTAATTGGACCTGGAAATCCAATGACGTTTAGTATGGATACGCGAAACAAGTTTGGAAGAGTGTATGCACCATATAGTTCCTTGTGTTTTCCCCAGTGCACCCATTCCTGAACACCGGGGGGTGGTAAGTCTGGAAGGTTGCCTACCAGCGGCTTAGGCTTGGGCCCCGGGGGAAGAGGAGCAGGTGTCTTTTTGGGAGTGAGGAGAATCTTGACAATATACAAACCAAGTCCTCCAAGGACGAGGTCGATGAGAAGGAGTGCGCCCATGATATCTGTAGGGCTGGTGGTTAGGAAAAGAGTAAGTACAGGAGTAGCGCAATTGAAAAAGAGTGGGGTGTGATGGGTGTTTAAATTGAACGGAAGTGACGGGGATGGCGGGTAAGAGTATACAAGAACCTAGGAACGGTCGGATTACTCCGCTTTTGGGGGGGCTGGCTGTGTTTTGCCATGGTCCCGCTAGGGCCTCGGCGACCGAAGCGTATTCCCACCTGCCGTATTTTGGAAAGGCGTGGGCCACGCTTCCCTAAATTGTTCCACCGAAGAAAAGCGGTAAGAAACTGTAGACTTGCGATTGGTAGAGTCCAACAAGCTATTCAAGCACATGTCAAGCTAGGTTTGAGAAGGTTGGCTGAACTCATTCAGGGTCAGAACAGCACGCGGACTCGTATCGAAAATTTTCATTGCAGTCGATCAGATGCTGAGAGCACTTTCAGAATTGAGAAGAGCAATGGAGGATCGTCAGACGTTTGATGGTTGCAAGACATATTTCGAGCGCTTTCTCGAGAGTTGATCCTCGAGAGTAAGTTTGATCATGTTGAAATTGATCAGATAAGTATGCATGTAACATATGCACGTGCAATTGAGCACCGAGCGGCATGTGATCTTCGGTTATCTAAGCACCAGATCGCGCTTGGTCGTTTGCTTGCCCGGGGCCCTGACGACTGCCCAACCCGTTGGCTGGCATCATTGCGTTTCGTCTCCCCCAGATCTCAATCTCGCTAGCGCTCAGTGATTTAGATCCTTAACTGTAGTTCCTCAGTCTAGTGCAAGGACGTTGTGGCGGGGAACAGCCCTGGGGAGGTTCTCTGCGGAGGAAGATTTGTGCTTTTCCCTCACATGCTGCCGTTATTTCCGTTGCATTGAAATTTGCATAAAAATTCCGTTTCACGTTTCCATTAGACCTTGTGCAAGGTTGGGGAAGAGAAGATTATTTCTCACACGTTTCAACGGCTGGAAAAGAATTCACCCAGGTTTTTGGTCCCCTTTTCCTTCGTCTGGGCCTAGAAACGACGGCAAATGTGGCCACCTTCCAGCCGATGTTTTGATGAATTGTGGTTAAAACACATGTGACATTCCCGGTCTTGCTAAGCGTCGAGAAAAAAGCTTCCACCTCCGCCTGCTATTAGAGCTATCTTCGTAGGTGGCATATCTTTGGATAGTAAAACTTATTAACCTTCATTAAGTGGACAATTCCTGACTCTTCGCCTTTACACCTTTCCTTTCTTGCGACGTAGGTTGTTTCGACCTTGGATATGACGACTGGCGCCCATATCAGAAAGTTCCATCATTTCTCTGCTGAGAATTATTACGACCTAGCCGCGTGCAATCATCTTGCCGTGTTTCCCGCGATTCCATAACTTTTATCGTTGCGAGGTCGCTTCTTCTCGTCCCTCAAATAGGATACCCGATTCTCGGACGGAAAAGGGTCATCCTGATCTTTGCCCATCTAGGTTTAGTTGGGTTTACCTGTCCCCGTACCCACGCTAGAAAGCCTCCTGTGGTGACATTGCTATGCACCGTAATTTTTATTCAGCCCGCGAAATGGCAATTGCATACATAATGCCCAGTCTTCGCGTTTGATACTCCCTCCTTACCGCCGCCTTCTGACATTCGCTGCGGTTGTCCTATTAGCCCGTTCGTCGTGCTGCCCCTCCTTGCTCGGAGCGCCCATTCTCTTCCTCCAGGACCGCGATCTACTTGTGCTTCTCCTGTCTTTACATCCGAATAATCAGCAAGCATGGCAGACGCAGGAGCAACAAAACTGCCGGCCTTGGACAACACCGTACGCGAGACTTCCTTTCGTCGTAGGCGAAAATCCTGACGTATTTGCCCTTAATAGATGGGCGTGCTGTTCGTAGGAACAATGTATGTCAACTTGCGATAGTCATTTACTATACCAGGACTAACAAGTATTTTTTTACAGCTTTGCCATGGCGTGAGTCAGGTTCCTTGGAGCAAACTGCTCTCGGAAGCGTTTAAGGGCCGAATAGGAGAGAAATAGAACTAACTAATTTCTGTGTATACAGACTATGGGGTGCGAGCACCGTCCAGACGTACTATTACTTCAATGTAAGTACTAGGCCGGTAAAATGGCCTTTTGCCATATCTGATGCGCCTTTCAATCCAAGCGCTATACAAAGGACGAATGGTGGATGAAGACAATGGTGGGACTTGTCAATTTTAATATGCATTATGACTTATTTTGACCTGCCCTCGGTTGTATAGGTCGCCCTTGTGTGGATGCTGGATTCAACACACCAAGGACTTATAACGCACACTGTATACACATATCTCATCACTGAGTATGGCAACCCCGCTGCCTTGGGTGTTATTGTCGACACTCTGTTGGTAAGTCGCCTATGGGCAAACCAGATACTATCCACATCCACATATCTGACTCTATCACTAATAGATCGAGGTTCTCTTCAGTGTAATGTATCTGACATACTGCCTTTAACTGTATAATTGATCCGATGTGCATTAGGCACTTGTTGTACTTATCGTTCAGGCATTCTTCGTACTGCGGGTTTGGAAACGTACGCAAAAGCCATTCTTTCCTTGTAGTACTATGGCTCACTTATTCTGATTTAGTGAGCCACGGGAACATTCCCCTCGCCGTTGTACTCGTATGTCTTATGCATTTTCAGGCGCGTATTACCGTTCATGTGTTTGTTTTGACAGAGTCTCCTCGTCTCGTCCTCATTCATAATATCTGTCGGTGTGTAAACCTACTGTGGAAGTAGAAGTAGCATATGTGCTCATCTCACTTTTTGACAGTTTACACTGTCAAAGCGTATGGTTTTACCGCATAGTATATGCTATCCGTTCGCTCATCGTCCACTCACAGGCTGAGGCTCAAGACCTTCGCCAACCTTGTTCAGATCTTCGACCTCAGCAGATCAATCAACATCCTCGGCGCAGCGAGCGACGTGGCAATTACAGCGTCGCTGATTTGGCTGCTACAGCGTTCACGCACGGGATTCAAGCGCTCGGACAGCATCATTAATCGCCTGATCATGTTCTCCCTCAATACCGGCCTACTCACAGGCCTGGATGCGATTATGTCGCTTATCACAGTATGTACTGGTTAGTACAAAGTGCCAGATACTCACGAGGCGCGCTCAGAACACTGTCTTCCCGACTACATTCATCTATATTTGCTTCTATGTGAACGTCAGCAGATGTATGTTACCTATTCTCCTACATATCTTCGATTCTTGGCATATTGACTCCTTTCCGCTTTTTACCAGTGTATTGCAACTCTCTTCTTGCCACGTAAGCGTGCGGCCTTACAAGCGTCGCAAGCACAGAGATTTAACATTCTATTCTGCACACAGGCTCAACAGCCGAAGAGGCTTGAATGGTGTCGACGAGAGCACAGGCGAGCAGAGCGTGTCGCTCTCCCAGGGACGTTACCGCTCTCGTGCTGTTGAGATAGAAGCACCATCGACAATCAAGGTTCGCTTCTCTCCTGGTTTCTCTCGGTTTTTCCGTCTCACGTTGATGCTCCTCAAATTTTGTATGAACAGGGGGTGGTTAACCCACGTACGCTCTCCATTAAAGTCAATACGGAAACGGAGACTGTACGTGATCAGGAAGAAGGAAACATCAAGGTAAGCAAGCGCTCTGCGCGCAGTTGACTCTTCACTTGCGACTGTGTTTACAGTATTTTTTGTATTCCCGTTCCCTGTGACTGATAGAACTACCGCTCCTTCGCCCCTCTTTAGCATGGAACGCCGTCTGAGAGCGATGTACATATGCCGTACCATTATGGCGATTCGAAGCCCAGTGCATACCCCATGCACCAGATGGGGTTGTAGGGTTCTGCGGAAATCTAGACTTCGAGAAGTTGCGTAGGCAATAATTACTGTTCTATTGCTCCGTCCTTCTCGTTCCCGTGTGTGCCTGCCTGTTCCGTAGTTTCGTTTCTCCCCGTTTTCCTGTGTTTTCTTTTCTTTGCCGACTGTTCTTTGCATGTGTTTCTAGCTCTTTAATGCTTTCTTATTCTTCCTTTTTATTCGGTTTTTAATACCCATCGGTGTCTTTGGTGCGGGTGGTTACCCGGCGCCCCTCGCGTGCGCTTTTTATGTCGCGTGGACTGCTAACTGGTCACCTTCGGGCTCCCACTCATTCTTTATTCACTATCCCTTAGTACAATTCATTACAGTGGATTTTCATACCTCATTACTATTGTGGCCGCGGATTCGCGTCTAAAAAAAGCCTGCATCTTGGAATGGAATTAATTTCTTTTTCTTGGAGTGGTGTGATTCTTTTGTCTGGTCATCATGGGTAACGTGTTTGTGTGCACAAGTTGGTCTGTTGTTCATGATATAATGTAAGCATCTTTAAGTCACGACGACTTTAGGTACCGTGAAGATACTCAAGGGCAGTAAATACTAAAATAGCCCAATTGAGGCTTGGCTTACAGAAGATGCCTGAGAGTGTGGCGGCTTTGCAAAAACTGATATGAAAGACCGACTCCATATCAAAAGTCATGAAAGCAGGCCAGCTCATTGTAAAGGAGAGATTGTTTGCAGTGTGATGCTTTTTGTGAACAAACAGACTTGCACGTGATGGTATGAACTTTTTTATTGGCGCGACGCGACGCGTATTCGATCATGTGATCTTGTGTGGTAGACTGACGAGTAACGCAACGCGTGACAGTAACGGATATTTTGCCTGGCTTGACGAGTGGCTGCTTGTCTTTCACTCTCCTCCATCCTCAAGCTTACTCTCCATTAATTCTCCTCCGGGAGCGCAACAGATTGCCCTTTCTTTCCTCGAAGTAGCACCTGAGGTGCTCAATGTCGTTGACCCTTCCTACTCCTCCAAGGTCATCCATGGACAAGGAAAATCAGTCTACCACGTCGACGGAAGTATTTCCCTCCACTCCACACAGGAATATTGAATGGGCTCCAAACAAGGAGGTGTATACTTATGTTCCAGTATCGGGACGCCCGGTCAAGGCGATGAATATCAAGCGGGAACCGCGCAAATCCATCTTAAAGCCTACGCGACCTTCGCTGCCTTTCGAAGTGGAGAAGAGACGTGAAGTTACTCCATCCCCAGAAAATGCGCTTGAGGATGCACATTATCTGGAGCACCCTGTTTCTGTTATCATTGCAGATAACTCGTCGTTGCGAGAACTTACAGAAGCGTACTCGATTCTTGCTGCTCGAATCCGATCTTCCGTACCTCAGAATTTTTTTACTTCCCAAACACAAGACGTCCACTACGCATTATTCGAACCACTAAGAAGTGATGCTGAAGCGCTATCAATCGCCATTGTGCGTGACCTTGGGCGAGTCTTTGTTGACCCCTTCTTGCCGCCCAATTCCCCGCCCGCGACTCCGAGAGAAAAGTCAGGTCTACCTACTCCTCAAGATTCGCCTGTGCCAAAGAAGGGAGGAATGACGGAGGAACAGGTCAAATATGCGAGAGATTTGAGCACTGTAACGAACTCGACAATAAAGTTCCTTACACTAACCCTTCAAACACCGTCGATTTACAACGTTTTCACGCGTACGTACGAGGACAAATTCGTTCACCATTTCGGGCTGACTTTTCTTAATTTACTAGAGAAACAGCTTGACTCGATACTCACGGCAGTACTAGCCATTCCGCTGGCTGAGTCGCTTCGCTCACCCACTGCTCGAAAAATATGTGGACTTGCTATTTCTGTCTTGCAATCTCAACGACTGCCAGACAGTGTCTTGAATTCTGCTGCCCCGCGGATAGCATTTGCACTTAAACGAGCCATTGAGGGAGAACTTGGTAGGGAGGGGAAGAAAGGTGCCACTGCTGAAGCACTTCGGGTGGGTGCTGATCTCATCATTTTGTGCTTTACTCTAAATGTTCGGTTGTCGTTTAGGCTGTCCATGACCTATCGATATACCAACCTGGGATCTTTGTACCGATGTTCCAGGTTTACTTGATGACTATCCTTGAAGCTCTCCTCACCCCCTCTTGTGCCCTTCGCGTTCTCGCAGCTCATGCTCTTGGTGGATTCGTCTTGGGTCTCACACAGCCCGAATTTGAATTTGAGAATATCCTGTGTGACGTTTCACCTATCGTTTACGAGTTCTTTCTCCGTAGAGAAGCGGGTACCAATTCTCAGCCAACCATTCTTCGTTCACTTCGTACAGCATTACGTACAACCGAGCCGACACATCATGCCCAGGGACCCTTCTGGGCTACGTCGGTACTGGCCAGCCTCGTCATACTTCTAGGGCCCGCCTTGTTGAAAGACAGGCAGGCCTTGGTAGCTTTCCGTGGGACTATTGAGATAGGAATGAAGTCCAAAAAGCGCGTAGTTCGTGGAGTGACATCTACTTTATGGGGTCCCTTAATCTGGGTCTGGCAGAAATGGCGCGGGTCCATGGAGGATGATGCAGGTGAATCCGATGAACAATGCGAAGGAGCAGCTGAACGTGAAAGGGTCAAAGCATGCTTTTCGACGATGATCCGAATGACAACTCATCTTCCAGTTGGATTGTCCTTTGTTGGTGCTTTACTTGGGAATGACCCTGCAACCTGTCGGCGGGAAGATTTGCTTCTGGCTCTATATGAGCTTGGCGCTTCGGCCCGCCAGGGCGGAGAATCTACGCAGCGTGCCCTGGATTTACTTGATCGCTTGGTCAACTCTCGAGAGGAAGCAGACTTCTATGAGCAGTGGACAGATACTTTCATGGGAAAACTCGTTCCGGAACCACTACTCTCTGTATCTCCAGGCCTTCTTACTTCAGATATAAATGGTGCAGCCCTCAATCCTGCAATTGACAATATTGTCGGCACCCTACCTGTACATACTGATGTTCGTCCACTTGCGGATGAAGAGAGGTCTGTTTCCGGCGTTTGGACGCGTGTCAAGGATGCCTGGATGATATGCATCGAGCAAATGGAAATGCGAGAGGACGACATTATTCCTGTGAGTAATAACTTCCGTACGTTTCCGTGATAAAGTGCTGACTTCCATTTAGGATGTCTTAACTGATATATGGACAGGCCTAGTCCGGATGGGTTTAGCCAGTGTAGAGGGTGAGCGTCTTTATTACTCAGATGTGACAGGGTTTATTAACCACGATACTAGATGACTCGGCCAATCTTCTTGAGTATGTAGGGCAATGCGCTGAAGTATTGATTTCAATCTTCACAAACGAGGCTATTGACCTCCATGATCAATCGCATGAGGGTGACTCGGACGATACTTTGATCGCTGGTTCAGCAGAAGAAGGCAACAAAGCTACAGACACAGGGGCAGGATCCGCGGCAAATCAACGACTGAAGCTCATGCTTGTGCGGGCTCTGTGGGCGGCGACATTGAGCGTTCTACCTACGTCGTCGGTGATGGGTGCGGTGAAGCCCATGATCCGTTTTCTGGTGAAGCATCAACCTGAGCTTGTTCCATCCACCGGCAACGAAATAGACCATAAGGACGAAGCACTGAGTGAATGGTCCCAATTTTGCGCACAAGTTGCAGCCGCCACTTCGATGGATATCACGAGAGTGATTTGGGAACACGACTGGGAGTGGGATGATAAAACACGTGCACGTGCGTGGAGGGGATATGCACGAGGCTGGGTCGAGGATTCGAAAGGGTCGTGGCGAGATGCTGCAACTATTCTTGGCATACCCTTCAGGTATCGTATTCTCATACATGATGCAGTTAACAATTCCTTACGATTATGCCCTTACAGAGAGGACTCGCCTTGGGATATGTCCGAAGCCGACCTTTCTACGTGGAGTAGCCTACTTGCTTACGCAGTTGACAAGGCTAGTAAGGAGCAGACACCCGTTTCGGAAGTCTTGGAGCTCGTGGTTTCTCGCATTGAAACCCAACATGTCATTTCGTTCGTATCTCCCGACTCTGCTGTTTTAAATTGTTGTTGACATGCGTAAACTAGACTGGGTTCGACGCTTCGTGTCGCAGATCATCTTATTGGCATGCTGGAAAGACATATCGAAACCTGTAATGATCTACCTCGCCGCCTTATCGAGCTTGTGCATGAGATCCTCATCACATCGTATCCTCCTGAACCGCGAAACAAAGTCGTTGCCATTTGGTTGCTACGTTCCTTGCAGTCATCCATAGGCAATTGCCCAGCGATTCTCGTTGTGGAGCTTCTCGAGAATCTCCACAACGGACTCTGTACCTGGATTGCAGACGAGTGTGCTCTTTTCTCGACTGAAGAGTACTCTAGCGAAATCATTCCGCTCTTCCAGACAGTGCTTGTCGCTCTTGAACCACTTCCTCCATCCACTGCTGTTCTACAGTCTCTCTCGGCCTTATTTGCTTCCGCTTTGCAGATAGACTTGGAGACTGGTGCGCTTTCGAGTGAGCGTGAAGAAGCGTTGGCCTCGTTCACAGAGTTCTGGAATAACAACTGTTTAGCACTCGAACCTCCAGAGTGCGGGTGGCCGGAAGGGATCTCACACGCATTGGAACTTGCCTTCTCCGCGACTGTGGTCGAATCGCCCATCCCAGACGCTCCGCTCAATCCGGATACAATGCCTTGCATCGACATGATTCTAAGTGACGATGATGAATTAGACGTCCTTCCACGAACGACCACTCCTCGTAGATGTCCTGCTAATCAGGTTCCCCTTCCCTTCTCGCCTCCGTCTCGGGTTTACCAAAATATCCCTACATCGCCTGTGATTACACCGAGACACCACACAAGGCGAACGAAAGAATCACAGTTGTCTGATGAGCCGCGTCTACCTTCCTTGTTTTCTACACTATCCTCACCGCCTGCTCGGAGGGGATCTCAGCACAGAAAGTCGAGTCGCCAATCTCGGACCGTCTCTGGCTCAAGCGCTGTTTCTACTTCAGACGATGTAGAAAAGGAGAACGTCTGTCCACAGTCTCGCAGAGTGTCGAATGCGGCCACGTACCTCGGAACAAAGCGAACGTTCCTTGATGCAGATTCCAGTCCCCTGTCCGCCAAGAGACGCCGTACAGAGAGCTGCGGATCGGATGACAGTGAAGACGCGCACGCAGTTGAGGAGGCGTTATTCGCCGATATCTACCCTATTCTAGGTCTCGGACGATCACCGCTGGGAACTGCTGATGTTAATGCCCTCGGCCTCCAGACTCCGACTAAGCGCGTACGCGCTACACCCGATCACACCCTACTTCAGGCTCGCACACCAAACTCGAGTCCCATTAAACGGCGGAAAACACAGAGTTGTAAAAGATTGGTTGACAGTGGGGATGATGACGAATATCTCCCGTCGTCTTCTGATGTCGAGTCTGAAGAAGAAGATGAGACGTCGGGCTCTTCGTCACCTGTTGGGCCGTTCACTCCAAAGACTGTTCGACGCAAACAACACTCGATGGCGATTGACTGCGAGCCGCCAAGCAGTGATGATGTCGTTACAAGCAGCAGTCCAACGCGGAAGATTCGTCGATTGGCTCGCGCAGAACGACTGTCGTCTGGTCTAAATGTATCCAGCCCCAAAACGAGCAATCCTACGCCCTCTGCCACATTACTGCGACCGTAAGGATGTTAAATTTACGATTTTCTCTTTACTTCGGAGCCGCGATACCTTCATCAACTTGTCATTAATTATTCAACGCAATTTGTTCTTCCCTTGTAGCATTTACCATGCTCTCTCTTCCGTTTGGACAGTTTGCATCATTTCTCGGGTTAGTGTATTTGAAGTTAGCTAAAATGTAAAGTGCAGATCATTAAAGCGAATATAGTCTCAAGCAATTTGCACGGAGAAAAATTGCACCGGGTAAAGAGAAATCGGAGCAAAGCGAAACTTTCAAACAGCTTTAAATAGAGTCGGGCGAGAGTTTTAACCGCTTAGGTAATTCCCGGTCACATGCCTGGCTGTGACAAGTTTCAAAAAAGCTGTACCTCGTTGCCTGTCAGACTAGTAAACAAACGAACAGCAATGAACTGTTTTTGTAGACGCCGGAATTTTGACTGTCTCAGTGCACCACCTGTATCGCTATCTGCTCCCTCCGACGCCTCTACTTCATTACCAATACCTTCAGGACTGCCTCGGCAGCGAATAGCACCAAGTTTTGCAAGGCGAATTGCGTATTACTGCGTAATGCCTTCTTGTACTTCATCATTAACTATAAGGTAGGACTCGGGAGCGACGAGATTCGGATGAACACTCAGGCGTCCTTTCTGAAACCTCCGCAGGGCTATGATGTGGCTGAACTCAAGCACTTGCATTGTTACAGCCGACGGACCCGACCACTTCAATGATTACCGTTAGCTCCGCTCAGCTCGTGTTCCTCGTTTGTTATTAAAACACTGTAAGCTCTGTCCTAATTGATCTCTTCACCTTGCCTGCTCTCTTTGTCGTCGCATCTCTTCTGTCCCCAAGTTTCTTCAGCATGACTATCATTATATATTCGCTTATTCTGGTTAATTTTGTTCTTGGGGTCTTTATACTGTATACTATGAATATACGCTTGTTCTCCAAGAAGACTCATGGGCCTCTCCCTCCTGGGCCTAAGCCAAAGAGCTTAATTGGGAACTTGGCTGACCTACCGCCGCCTGGGGTGCAGGAGTGGATATTCTGGGGGAAACATAGAAATCTCTACGGTGAGTAAAGTTTTTATTTTGTAGGCTTACTGCTTTTCGTTTAACTACATTCCATGGCTTTGTCAGGCCCCATTAGTTCGGTTACTGTCTTCGGCAAGACTCTCGTTATTATCAATGACCAGCACGTTGCATTTGATCTCTTGGAAAAGCGTTCGGCGATTACTTCTTCACGGCCCAGGATGGTCTTCGGTGGAGATATGTAAATCCCTCAATGTCGTTCTTGTTATATAGGTCGAATTTTCTTACATTTCTCTGTTAGGGTCGGTTTGGAGAACGCGTTGACGAATCTTACATATTCGGATCGTTTCCGCGCATATCGCAAGAGTATTCATTCTCTGCTGGGTACAAAACAAGCAGTCTCTCGTTTCAATGCTCTACAGGACATCGAAGTCCGGCGTTTCCTCCTACGAGTTCTTGACGAACCAGAGAGGCTTATTCAACACATCCGAACGTATGTTGTCTACCTGTGACAATAACAGGGAGTTAACAGGTACTCATCAACGTTCTGGCCCAATAGTGAATCTGGTGCTATTATCTTAAAAATATCACATGGTTACACAATCGAACCTTCTAGCCGGGACCCACTCATCGAGCTTGCTGACGAGGCACTAATGCATTTTTCATTAGCAACTGTTCCTGGCGCCTGGCTTGTAGATACACTCCCTTTCTGTGCGTGTTTTTCTCTTCATCGGTATATACGTAAAATTATAACGATTATCTTAGTGAAACATGTTCCCAATTGGGTGCCTGGAGCGGGATTTAAGCGCACAGCCGCTCGCTGGAGAAAGACAGTTATGGACTTCGTTGAAAAGCCGTATGCCTTCGTAAAACAGCAAGTGGCTGACGGTGTCGCCGTGCCTTCATATACATCGCAGCTACTTGAAAAGGGCATCCTCAGTGCTGAAGATGAGATGGTTGTTAAATGGTCTGCCGCATCTTTATACGCGGGCGGTTCTGATACCGTAAGTATTCTGGCATGGGTTATTTCGTAGACTAACTACCTCTCCTTTCTTTTCTTCGAATGTGGCGATAGACTGTATCTTCTATTGCATGCTTCTTCCTCGCTATGACTGTAAATCCTGAGGTGCAAAGAAAGGCACAGGAAGAGATAGATCGTGTAATTGACGATGACCGCCTACCCGGGTTTGATGACCGTCAAAATCTCCCTTACGTCGATGCAATCGTTAAAGAAATTCTCCGCTGGCATCCCGTCGGGCCGATGGCTCTTCCTCATACCACAACCGAGGATACTACCTATGAAGGTTACTGCATACCAAAAGGCTCGATGCTTCTTCCAAACATCTGGTTTGTAATATTCAAACTGATACTGCCAAGTGCCCACTAATGTGTCCCACCTTTACAGGGGATTTGCTCACGACCCGGAGACGTATCACGACCCAATGAGTTTCAAACCCGAACGGTTCCTCGGTACCGATGGTCGCGCGCCCGAGATGGACCCTCATCAACTGGCTTTTGGTTTTGGCCGTCGGATCTGTCCTGGCCGTGAGCTGGCCGACGCGTCTCTGTATCTTACGATCGTGCAGAGTCTCGCAGTGTTTAACATAACCAAGGCCGTTGAAAATGGGAAAGAAGTTGAGCCAGTTGTCGATTTCACTCCAGGCATTCTCAGTCATCCTGTCGAATTCAAAACTTGCGTTAGGCCCCGAAATACGAAGGCCGAGGCCCTGATTCGTTCCATTGAGGAGGAACATCCGTTTCAACCAAGTGATGCGAGTTTCCTCACCAGAACTGAGGTCTAAATCCAGTTTCCCATCGGTTTCTGTCTCGTCCGGCTGTAAGATTAGAATACATGTTTGTCTTTCTCACCGTTCCGTGCGCAATTAATTGTGAACTAATATTTATCTTAAATTACTTTCCTATTATGATTTAAGACATATAGTGTTGTATTTTGTTTACCCGTAATTTTTAACAGTAATTTTTAGAAAGTGTATCACTTAAGCAACGAGAGATTGTGAATTTGTGCTGACTAGCTTAGAAGACGAGACATTCCATCGTGTATACGCGCTGAATCGTAGACATGACTCTTCTGCGACTCGCTCGAGTTTCATCCACTTACAGCCGTTTGCAAATATAATGAGACTTTCTGATTTTGAGCGAAGTGAAGAAAAGTAAGAAATCACATGATTTTTTGAACTTAGCAAGGAAAATAGCAAACACGAGACAGAGTGAATGAGACGCGTCGTGCCAGCGTCTGTGCATACAGTCTACCTCCTGCTACCTGTCCCTAACTTTTCAACCTGTCTATTACTATTCTATTGTGCTATAATGTCTTACTTCTATCAAAGTCGCTTCTCCTCTGCTGCTATTGTGCTGAGCAGTCGTTGGGCAAATGACATTGCCTGTTTCTTCCCAGAGTTTACAAATGCGAAAAAAAGTAGCCCGAGAGAATCTCACACAGTTTAGAATGTCGTCCAAGCTTAGAATTATTAAGGTCATACAGTCTTAGACAGCAGATTTTGAGGTCTCTACTGATGTAGCAGTTACCCATGATTGTAGCAGCTCAAAATATATGCATAGACACTGGCACAACGCGTCTCATTCACTATCTTGTGCCCACGAATTTCCTCTAAGTCTAAAAAATCATGTGATTTCTTACATTACATCACGTCGCTCAAAATCGAAAAGTCTCATTATTTATGCAAACGGGTGTAAGCCTATTTTTGGAAGATGAAAATTGTATGCAATGCAGCATAAACGACATTACCGTCCTTATAAAGGAAGGTGATCGGCACTGTGCCACTGCCACTGTCTACGTTGAAAGACGAGTCACAAATTCAATGTCGCATCCCCCGACTATTGTAGTGTAAGAAATATGAAGGGATTGAAGACTCAATGAAGAGCGCATAGTAGAAGTTATAAATGAGGATAAATAAGCTCCCTGAAGAAATGACCTGGAAAATTACACATGCGAGAATAGTAATTAGGGTACTTATCTTATTGGCGGCTACGGCTGATCAATGGGACGACAAATTCAACTCTCGCCACATGACCAGCAGCTAGCTAATGCTAAACCTTCACCTTTTCAAAACGATCGCTATTGATTCTCGATCTAGTTCAATCGGACTCTCTCTGACTCGGCCCCATCCTGCTGTAGGCCCAAATGCATAAGTTCAATGACCGCAGTTACTGTTACAACGGCCGCTTCACTTACGTGCCACTAAGTCAAACTCACCATTATTTATTTTTGGAACCTTTGTGTTCTTGAAATTGCAATTGGTCTATTGCAGATGCAATGCATTAGTTTCTCTGAACTAACTTCCCAGCAAGCAATCTGACGAATTGACATCCATCGATCATACGTATTACAGAGACGTCTGGCTGACTCCAATTTGTAACTACGTTTTCCGCATTAGCACCTTCGTGGCATCATGACTGCACAACACGAGTTGTTCTTTGGACTCTCACTTACCCGCAGGTCTCTATCTTAGTGTTCAGCCATAGACACCAGCATCGGCCATGGCCCCATTTACTCTTGTTGACCTCATTCTCGCACTAGTCGGACTATACGTTGTGAAGTCATTCCTGAACGGAAGAAGGTTTCCGGCTCCTCTTCCTCCTGGACCGAAGGGAAAGCCTTTGATTGGCAATCTCAAAGATTTACCGTCTGTGGGTGAGCAAGAATGGCTGCACTGGGATAAGCACAAGTATCTCTATGGTATGCTAGCTTTTCCACGTGTGCCAGTGCGTACATCTGATGTATTTACAGGCCCTATTAGCTCTGTCACGGTGTCCGGGCAAACGATGGTCATTATTAGCGACAAGCAAATTGCGTTTGATCTTATGGACAAGCGTTCAACGATAACTTCTTCTCGCCCTGGGATGGTGTTTGCTGGTGAAATGTGTGTACAATACCGCTACCTGCATTTAGCAACTCCCTTATCTGATGAGCGTTGCTTCAGGGTTGGTTGGGAAAACGCGTTATCCAGCCTAACGTACTCAGACCGCTTCCGTGCGTACCGCAAGAATGTTCGTATGCATCTGGGTACAAAGCAAGCGGTATCTCGTCTGAACCTTCTCCAAGACATCGAAGTCCGTCGCTTCCTCCTCCGTGTGCTCGAAGAACCGGATAAACTCTTTCACCATATTCGGACGTGCGTAATCACTTCTTACGGTCATACCTATGTCCAGAAACAACATTCGCATTGCAGTGCAGCCGGTGCTATCATCTTGAAAATAACCTACGGCTACACAATCGAGCCTCGTGGTTCTGATCCACTTGTTGGCCTTGCAGATGAAGCACTGATACAATTCTGCCTCGCGACTGTCCCGGGAGCCTGGCTTGTTGATACACTCCCCTTTCGTGAGTTCCCATTCGGCTCAGTTCCTTTTTAAACCCCAGAGCCCCATTCATCCTATTGCTGTCAGTGAGATACCTCCCTGATTGGATCCCGGGTATGGATTTCAAGCGTACGGCGGCGCGATGGAGGAAAACAATCACAGAAGTCGCTGAGAAGCCCTACGCATTTGTAAACAAGCAAATGGCTGATGGTGCTGCTACCCCTTCGTATACATCGAAACTACTCAACAAGGACAACCTCAGTCCGGAGGAACAGTTCGTTGTCAAATGGTCAGCAGCGTCGCTCTACTCCGGCGGCGCGGATACAGTGCGTACAATTCTACCCTTGCAGTCATGATCAAGTACCTAAAATCCAACGCGCTGTCCTCGGTTGAGCCTGCAGACTGTATCCTCAATGATGACCTTCTTTCTTGCTATGACTATGTACCCTGAGGTTCAGCGTAAGGCTCAAGAGCAAATAGATTGTGTTATTGGCAATGATCGCCTTCCTGGTTTCAATGATCGCGAGGAACTACCATATGTCAATGCGATCGTGAAGGAAGTTCTACGTTGGCACCCGATAGTGCCCATGGGCCTGCCGCATATGACCACCGAGGACGATATATACAACGGACACTTCATCCCGAAGGGATCGTTGCTCATGCCTAACATTTGGTATTTTTGTTGTATTTATTTATAATGCTCCGTTACGTTCCTAATCAGGCTTGTTTTATAGGGGCTTTATGCACGATCCGCAAACCTATCGCGATCCGATGACCTTCAAGCCTGAGAGATTCCTTGATGACGATGGGCATGAGCCTGAGATAGACCCCCATCAGCTTGCTTTTGGTTTCGGTCGTCGTATCTGCCCCGGTCGGGAGCTGGCGGACTCATCTGTATATCTCGGCATTGCCCAGTCTCTCGCGGTATTCAACATATCCAAGGTTATTGAGAACGGAAAAGAGATTGAACCCCGCATCGCCTTTACTGCGGGTACCATTAGCCGCCCTGTTGAATACAAGACGTCCGTGAATCCGCGCAGCGCCAAGGCAGGGACCCTCATCCGCTCTATTGAAGAGGAGCACCCTTTCCAGCAGAGTGACGCAAAGACCCTCACGAGTCTCAATGTCTAATTATAGTACACGCGACTTGCTTTAAATGAACCTTCTTGAGTCTTCTAATCCAACTCATATATGAATTGTGTGCTTGGCGCTACGTTTATGGTGGGTGGAGGTCACTGGACTTTGGAAGTCAACTACTATAGAAACTTCAAGATCAAGTTTGGAACCTGGTTTATTTGACAATAGCACCTATCAACTCCATAATGTATGAAGCATAAATGCTAGTACCATGTCAAATCATGGGAAATGGAAAGTAAAACACTTACCCTCTACATCTACATGTCTACTATGTGCTATCTATCCTGTGGACGGAATCAATAGTCTCTACACGTTTCGGGCTTGAAAGTGCATGCAAAACGTTATGACACCTGTGCCACCACATTCTTATTGCTTCTCAGTGTATTAATAAATTTTACTAATATGTTTCTCTCTCTGGAAACTGTCGTTCATCTGTATCTTCTGGCGGCATGAAGAAGATCCGATCAAACTTCCCTCAAAACTGTCTTAAACTGGTCAGCTGTATCTTGTCTCGAGCCTGAATGATGGCTTCTTATGCTAATCAAATAGGAGTGCAATCGCCTTTTGTATTCTGGATTTCTCCGTCCCATCTGTCTCTGCCAGTATATTAATATTCAACAGAAGTTGGAGCCAGATGTCTCTGTCAAGTCAATCATCCCCTCTCTACACTGTGTTGAAGTTTCTTGACGTTCTGTGTCTGAGATACACATTCGGAAATGCCCGCTATCATGGATTCATTTGTACTTTAGTCGACTTCTTTTTCGGCATACTATTCCTGTATATCATAAAGATGCTTTTGATACCCAAGCCATCTAATCCTCTTCCTCCCGGTCCGAAGCCAAGGCCTGTAATAGGCAATCTCATGGATTTGCCTCCTACAGGCACACAGGAGTGGATGCACTGGGGAATGCACAAAGAGCTTTATGGGAAGTCTAATTTCCTGAGTGTTTCTCTTATCCCTGAATGTTATTTACTCTAATGTCCATCAGCTCGGTCAAAATCTTCGGGAAAACCCTTATTATCATCAATGACCATGGCATCGCATTGGAACTCATGGAAAAACGATCGGTTGTGCATTCTTCGCGCCCTCGTATGGTATTTGCAGGAGAAATGTACTTTTATACTATCATCTTATGCACCGGACCGAATTTCTGACAGGGACTTTAGGATTGGCTGGGAGAATATATTATCAGTCCTGCCGTATTCGCATCGTTTTCGCGTTTCTCGAAGGTATATCCACTCCCTATTGGGCACGAAGCAGGCCATGTCCCGATTCAGCAACCTTCAGGATGTGGAGACTCGGCACTTTCTGCTCCGCGTGCTTGATGATCCTGCTAAACTCATTCAGCACATTCGGACGTGAGTTTTTACTTCCACCCAAAAAGAATACCCATGAAACATGAGGGCTACGTTAGATACTTACATTGACTAATAGTGAAGCGGGTGCTATCATCTTAAAAATTTCATATGGTTATACTGTTGAACCTCATGGCCGAGATCCACTCGTCGACCTTGCTAACAGCAGCATAATGCAGGCTTCCCTTGCATCGGTGCCTGGAGCATGGCATGTTGACGTGCTACCGTTCTGTGAGTATTTTAAATTACTCTAACCCGCGTTAATAATTATTGAAATGCATGCCGAATATATACGATAGTGAAGCGTGTTCCTGATTGGATACCGGGAACGGAGTTCAAACGCACGGCTGCGCGCTGGAGGAAGACACTTTCAGACTTTACCGAGATACCTTTTGCGTTTGTGAAGCAGCAGATGGCTGCTGGTGTTGCTTCTCCGTCGTATACCTCTACTTTGATAGAAAAGGGGAACCTGAGTCCTGATGAAGAATCTATCATAAAGTGGTCCGCTGCATCGCTTTATGCAGGTGGCTCCGATACTGTGCGTCAGTCATTATCCATTATTTCTGCGTACCATTGATTTCTGGTATTCTCATTAATTCGAATGAAATGTAGACTGTATCTTCGCTCGCATGTTTCTTCCTCGCAATGACCATGTATCCTGAGGTACAACATAAGGCACAGGAAGAGATTGACCACGTGATTGGCAACAACCGTCTTCCCTGCTTTGACGACCGCAACAATCTCCCATATATCGATGCGATTGTTAAAGAGGTCCTTCGCTGGCATCCTGTTGCACCAATGGGTTTCCCTCATATGGCAATGGAGAATAACACCTACGGAGGCTACCATATTCCGAAAGGCTCTTTGTTTATTCCAAACATCTGGTACGTCGTATTAAAGCCGTAATCCCTTATCTCTGATCAAACCCGGATTATTGAATTTCGTGCAGGGGTTTCATGCATGATCAGAATACATATCATGATCCGATGACCTTCAAACCTGAGCGTTTCCTCGGTGTTGACGGCCGCTCACCAGAAATGGACCCTCACCAACTTGGTTTTGGTTTTGGTCGACGAGTCTGTCCTGGCCGTGAGCTCGCCGATTCGTCGCTTTACCTTACAATTGTCCAGAGTCTTTCGGTATTTAATATTTCAAAGGCTGTTGAGAACGGTAAGGAGGTTGAGCCAGTTGTCGGTTTCACTTCTGGCATTGTCAGCCATCCCCTTGAGTACAGGACGTCTGTGAAACCACGCAGTTCGAAAGCAGAGGCGCTCATCCGCTCTGTTGAGGAGGAGTATCCCTTCCAGTCGGGCAGTGCAAAGCTTCTCAATGGAATCAAGGTATAGCTTCCATCTTTCGTTTTCCAGCAGGCAGTGAGTGGCTCCTTGCACTCGTGATAATTACCTCATTCCCATCTTCAGTTCTTAATCCTCCATGTTCGTTTCAACGGAACTGTTCATTTGTATAATGTATAATATCTGGTACACCAATGTATGTCTGTGACACTTTATCAGTTTTCCTGAGTAGATCTGTTTCATAGAGTGTTATGTCCGGTTCGCATACCTGTCACTATCCGATGGCCTTCATGCCTGAAAGAGACCTTGAAAATAATGGACGAGAGCTTGAGGTGGACCCATGCCAGCTTATTTTGGAGTTGGTGATTGTATCTGTGGCTAACAGACCCATCTGTGTTGTCTCAGCATTGAAGAGAAAATGCGTTAGACACTTAGGATCTGGCAGAACACTCAGTACCTCCCAGACGCGATTGGCAATCGTCACATGGGGCATTTCACAATTCCTTACCTTATAAAAAAACTTACAT